TGCCCCACCCTTGCAAGCAATACTATTAAAATAGTCAATTTATGGCAAAAATGATAACAAGTTCTTATGTTTATTACATTTTTCCTCTTCCGATGGTGTGATTGTTGCTTTGTGTGTGTCCGCTGCATTTCACCATAATTTGAGAAATTTGCGTCCAAGTTCATTTCTCCGAAATTGAAGTGGACGTTGAATTGCTCGGGGGCACAGGCAAGCTGGACTACGACAGCTTCTCCTGAGCTGGCCCGCCTCACCATTGCAAGGAAAATCACATCCCCATGATCATGTCTAACTTTACGTACATGCATCCCGAATTATATGTACAACTATCAGATCACGTTCTTTGCCAATCATGCTTTGTCCCTTGTGCTAATATAACGATGCCTGTAGAAGTGTGTCGGCAAAGGTGTATTATGGAGTTGCTGCAAATAGTCCAGTTAAGGGCACACTGACGGCATTTATGTTTGTCAAGGATTTTATTTGTATGTGACATATGAGAGCCCAAATACCTCGAACAACATTTTTGGCTTCAAACTCGTTTTCTTTCCATTTGAAAACCGCCGATCGAGAACTGGCCGGTTTGAGTCACACTCTCGTCTCCGTGGTCACGTGCCGTTCTCTATGGTTTAGACACGCACACCAAATATAATCAAAGCCGTGGGCCAATGAAGGCACACATTCAATATTAAAAAAAAAAAAAATACGTTGACTGAAAACAAAAGTTTCACAGGGAACCGGAAGCACTCTGTGCATTCTCTGCGTAATCGTCAACACGGCGTCGTGTCACAGGAATCGCGGGCTAGATATCTGAACAAAGCGGACTAAACGATGGCGGCGGATGACGGTCGTGGTACCTCTACTTAAGAACTGTCGTTGGCAGTACTGGTGAATCTGTCTAGCTTTGAAAGATAAATCATTTACCGATCAAAACAATTAGGACTTATTTTGTTCGACACGCCCGGCCACCGAGCTGATTTGCACGAAGACGTCGTCGCCCCTTCTCCTGACTAAAGACATCGCTCGCCTTACAAACACGAATTGGCAAGAGCTTGAAAAACATGCAAATGTCAAGCACAACGTGCTTGACTTTTGCGTTTTTCGTGCAGTGTGCGAGTTTTTTGTCTGCTTCGCACAACCAGAAAAACAAAGGGGGAAAAAAAAAAAAAAACTGGTTGGCTGTAGCCCCTTGGCTTCCAGCAATACACTTCTCTATATTTCTTCTTCCCCCCAGTCCAGTTTCGAGCAGTCGCATTTTTTTACTTTATTAAAAATATATGTGATGATGTAGCAAAATATTTATTAGGTAGTCTTCTGACACCATAATAAATCGCCTGGCAGAAAAAAAAAAAAAAAAAATTGGGGGGGGTGTTAGTGTGTTACAATTATAATATACATGCAGGAACCAATATATAGTATGTGGTATACTATATATTGGTTCCTGCATGTATATTATAATTGTTTTAAGCATCATTATTTTATCGTGAGCCTGCAATATTTCTAACAATTTTCGACTATCTCTCGTAGATAGTGCATTGATTTGATCTTGTAAACACTGCAAGACCGTCAGTTCAGTTACCTGTACACAGAATGGAAGTGTTCCAGGTCTCACCCATAGGTGGCACCACTGGTTACGAGATATTACAACGCACTCGGTTGCAGTCAAACGCAAATGTGTGAACCAGCCTTGGCAGAAGCAAACGAATGCAACAGACGTGAGAGACTTCACTCTAAATTTGCAGGCGCCGACGGATCATCATAGTCCCATCCTTACCGTACAGTTCTCGCAGCACGTCCAAGACTTTTTCCTGAACAAAGTCCACGTCTAAAGGCGGGCAGTACCCAACTATGCTCGAGAGTGCTATTATGATGAGCGCGGGCTTGGCATTTAGTTGTCCAAGGAAATGGGTCGTGCTCCGTACGAGAGCGAGGATCTCGTCGCCAAGCTCACGTGGTGCTGCAGCTGTGAGTTCATGTCGCAGGTACAGGCGTCGTCGTGGATCAGCTAGGATTCTAACGGCTCCCCCTCAAGAAGTCGGACTGTGAGATTGTGACAGATCTAGCAGACGGGGGCGACTTGGCCGTTGGCGACCAGGCAATTGACAGTGTCGTCTCCCGAATCAACTCCAGAGTCGGTATCTCGGTCGACACTCAAATCGGCTTGCAGGTCAACCCCCGAAGTAGCTTGAGGGTTATTTATAGGACCCACTTCGCGGCACAGCCCGTTCAAAGTGTCAATGCTGGGACCTCTGTTTGACAATTCGGCTTTGGGTAGATGGTGCTGTAACTGTTCCTTGAGGTGCTGAAGCTGAGCCCTGCGTTTCGCCTGGGCTGCCTCGAGCAGGCCGGGGTTTGCAGTGGGGTCAGGAAACGAAGCGTGGTACAGCTGACGCAACAGTCGCATCTGGGGCTGACTCAGCACCATGACAAATGAATCCTGGGTGTTGTAGAAGTTGAGGTCAAAGCCCAGCACGAAGCAACGATCCTCCGGCTGCCAGGCGTTTCCTTCGTCGCCAGGTTTGGCTTCCAGCAGGGCGTCCAAAGTCCGTACTCGCAGCCCAAGTTCATGGCCCTCGTCCACTTGGTGCGTCCATATGCACTCGCTCAGGAAGTAAGGCAGGGGACAGGTCATCCAAACTTGACCATCCTAGATAGATAGTAGATGACAAGCAATTTAAGCGTGAAACATGGGACAGCAATAAAAATGTGTTGTGCCATATGTAAGAACTGCTGTTGATGCTTTGACGTGGCGGCGCAGCATTTGGCTATGTCGGCATCGGTGGCGAAAGCTTTGGTTACGCCGCTTGACAATGCGATGCGATGTCTGCCAGTTTGAATTCGGCCTTGTGTTACTTGCCTCAGCCTTTCATACTCGGCTTGCGTGTGCCTTATGCAGGGGATCAAAGGGTCGTGAGATTGAACCTTACATCGCTATGCATGTGAAAAGTACAATGACAAAGGCCACAGTACAGTGATGTGACTGCTGTGCTGTGGTGGAACAAGTCCCCAATAAATGGGACAGGCTAACTTAAATATATTTGCAACAAATTTGCTTGGCCCTGTATTGTGAAAACATAATTTAATACCACAAAGAGTGCCTATAGCTTGCCTTCCATTCTGTTCGGTATGCTAGGAAAAGCTTGGTGTGCAAGCAGGTAGCTCTACAACAGGATTCTGTGTTGTGTGTATTTGTGCAGAGGGAGTACCTTTTACTGTTTTTCACCTCAAGCGGTACATTGAAGCATGAAATCTTATACTGGCAAATTTCTTTTTGCACAGATGGCAATTTCAGAGCAAAGTGCTTGACATATTTAGCACATGCTATCATTCCTGGTGATTACTCTTACTGATTGTTTGCTTCAATGTACCGCTTTTATGGTGCAATGTTGACACAACAGAGAGGGAATGCTCGTAGAAGATAAACCGCCAGCATAGTAAGCACGACACCAAATCGGCAGAAGATATCTATAGCCTTGGCTCTGCCACCGCTATAAGGTGAAACAAACGACAGCAATGACCTCGTGCTCACAGATTTCATATTCAGCTAGGCTCCCCTTTGGCAGCTATGCAAAGAGCAAGTCGTCTACTTGTGCAGGGGTTTCGGTGACGTTAGAACGATGCCGAGCCCTGCTTGGCTTTGATAGAGAAGATAGGCAGACAAGCACTTTGTGGCTTCTGCTTCGACCATATCATAGACATTACTCTGTTGTTCTTTGTGCTTTTAAGCACTGTTCAGTAGGAGCTTGCCTGGAAGAATGTTTTCGTCCTTGCAGCCATATCTTACTTATGTATTCAAGGTCGAAAGCAATTGCAGCATGTTGCCCTCTCGATGCAATAATTGAAATGAAAACTGACAGCAAGGGCATTCTAAAAACCCTCATGTAAAAGAAAAAAAAATTATCTCAATAGGAAGGTAGATGTCCTTAATGATAAGCAATCATTTTGAGTTATGCGAAAAGAACAAGCCACAAGTAAAATACCCCGCTGCGCAAATGAACATGCCTAAAAGGCTTGCATCCAAATCAAATTTTACCTTATTTGCCTGTTGCGTAAGAGCGCACTAGCGAGGTACACTTAGTTATTCATTCATTCCTTATGATGTCAAGGTGTTGAAGGGTTGCCCAAAGCCTGCTGCAAGTTACATAATTATTTTGAAGATTAAGTCATGTTAGTTAATGAACTCAATGACTGGGTGGTGAACATGTAGCTTGTGCACAAAATGGTGAAGGATGGAAAAGTCAGTTTGACGGGGATTTCAATGGCAACATTGAATGTGCATCAAGCCTATCCCTGTGCTATAGTCTGTTGCAGGTTAAGCACTTACCAAAAAGCTTTCTGCTTGCTATGATTGCTGGTTTCCCCCTCTCAACTCTTCTCATCTTCATCATTTGCTCTGCTAAAGTGGAAAAAGTGGTGGGCTTTGTTGCAGGTTTTCTTAACCTGCAACAGACTATAGTTCTTCCTATGCAAGTCACTGCACTAACCAAAGTTGCAAACATCCATCGTACCGTGGCGCCACCATACACCTTGAATTTTCACTGCTTTCACCATACTCTGGAGCCGATGAGGAACTGTTGATCTCCCCACTGGACAGCTGGTCTGACCACGGAGACCGCACCCAGAGCACACCGTCGAGGTGTCCCGCGAGGGCAGCCGGCAGGATCAAGCTCTCGATATCGATCACGTCGAGGACATATGATCCCGGTCCCGACAACGGGTCGGGTCCAGCCCAGGGGGTAGCACCAGGGGGAGGCACTCACTTTATCGAATGACGTTTTAGCGAACGCCCACGTTTCACCGAATGACACTTTAGCGAATAGCTGGACGCTGCGAAGCGGCGTTTTTGGGTGGGCCAAATGGGTTCACATTTTTGTAATGAGCCGCCGCAGACTGTCGCCGCGAAGCGGAGTAAAAAGCGCAGCGCGGCGGATGGGTTAACGCGTGCCCCCGTTATTCGCTAAAATGTCGCTGTTCGCTAAAATGTCATTCGCTCATGTAACCAGAGAGACAGTTCGCGTGGATAGAGAGATGAATTTGGCGGATTTGGATGTAGTACACGCCGCTCAGCGGAACACTTGCGAAGCGCTGCCGCGCTACTAGACTCCAGCCGCTGCTCCTTACCTGGCGCTGATTCCTTTGAGTTTCTTGATTCGCATTCGCGTCGTGAAGCAAATCAGCTGACAACGGCAGGCACGTGAGGGGAGGTGCTGCGGTCTTTAGGCTCTGCCGCAGGAGAGATGGCCGAGGACAAGACAAACCTGATGCGCGGGGAGCAGCCGCCGGCCCTGGACGATCCCCACGAGGGTCCGTCCAGGAACGAGGACGACGTCGAATACGAGAAGCCTCAGTCGTGCGGCAAAGCATTCTGCGATCCCAGCACCCGGGCGCACAGACTCATCGTTCTAGTCTTCCTATGCTTTCTGGCCTTCGGTGAGTCACTGGTCTCGAGAGAACTCTTTCAGATGTTCCAGGGGGTTGCCTCCGTGGAGGCTCGAGTTTCTTATTTGGATTGTTTTGTTCAATGATCGACAAGTTGAGGTCGGGCTTATCGGGCGCGCGGGCTGTCATAGAATCCACTTGTGGCTGTAGAGCCCATTTTACACTTAGACAATTTCACGCTGAGCTAGCTGTTACAACGCAGTGACTGCAAAATTCAATACATTTTAATTCATTGTCCACTAGGTTCTTTACTGCTTTGTAGCTTCTCTAACTACAGCTAGAGTAATACAAGGTCGCAAAAAGGAGCAAAAACAAGCTACAGGGTGTCTCAAATAGCGGCCAGGCTCTCTAAATCGACCGCAAAAATCGGTTTCTTAACCTATCGCGCTATGATGTTGTGCAGCTTTGCCACTACAGGTAGTGGATTTTTTCTATAAAATTTGCAAAGAGCGAACTTACCTGAGGAAAAAGTAAAATAAAAAGGCTTAATTCCTGTGGAAACACAGCGAAGCCACCGGTCTTCAAACAATAGGACGCCGTTTGGCAGGGGAGACAAGAGATGGCAAAAGCTGTTGTGACGGCAACCAGAGTCTTGTATAGACAGAGTTTGGTCAATGGGAGGCGCGGACAGAGCCAGGGCATGCACCAGACTCGGAAAGAGAGCTTGGCATGCTCTCTTGACCGACCAGAAGTCGAAAAGAATCCCCTAGTGGTGGTAGCGAGAAACACTTCTGATCCAAAGGTATATGTTCGTAAATGGTTTTAATAAGCGCGTAAGAGTGAAGTGTGGTAACACTCTGTGGTTGAAAATAGGGTGCACGTGATGTTTCAATCATGATCATGCAGAATGATGTAAGAAACATATGCGCTGCTCAACTCTGTTTTGCTGAGACAGAGTGACCACTCGGACGGCAGATTCCTGGCCCTCGGCGCTTGGCGTAAGGATTATGTCGATCATTCTGCTAGTCATACTTTTCCACCATCATTTTGGATGAGCGTGATCAAAACATCACGTGTACCATATTTTCAGTCACCGAGAGTTACTCCGATGCACTTATCAGGCTTGTTTCTCGCGACCACCGCCAGGGTATTATTTCTGGCTTCTGGTTGGTCGCACTCGAATTTCTGAAGACGCCCTGGAACACGCTGAGCCCACTTTCGACCAATGGCGCCTCCTCATTTGTCTCCTATACTTCCCAACGAATGGCCAAACTCTCTGACGCCAACTACCGCCAACGAACGAGCATGCAGCGCCGAGAGCCAGTGTCATTAGCAGACAATCTTTGCGACTCAAAAGTGATGCGAGCTTTTTCGATGGCAGTTTTCAGTGCGCGATTTTCTCATCCTTAATTATAAAACACATAGAAAGGACACATAATCAATTAAGAAAATGGTTTGTCAAGTTATCTTCATGGTTCTTTTTTTTTGGGGGGGGGTTTGCTTTGCAGTTCATGATAAAGCCTATGCTGTGATTGCCTCTTCCCGAGTTCTCGACGCCTGTGGAATGCGCGCCGCTTTTGAGTCAAAAAGATTGTCTGCTAATGGTGCCGATGCCGTATGCTCGTTCGTTGATGGCAGCTTGCGTCGCGACCGCTTGTGCCATCTCTTGTCTTCCGTGCCAAATGGTGCCCTATTGTTTGAAGACCGGTGGCTTTGCTGCGTTTCCATAGGAATTAAGCCTTTTTCTTTTTTTTTCCTTCTCCTCAGGTAAGTTCGCTCTTTGCAAATTTTTTAGAAAAAATGAACCATAGGTGGGCGGCACTGCACAAAATTGTAGCGCGAAAGGTTAAGAAACTGATTTTTGCTGTCGATTTAAAAAGCTTGGCCGCTATCTGAGACGCACTGTAGGTTATAGACGCTTTCAGCGCGCGCCAAATTCAGCCGCCATAGCCGACCTTCTCTTGTCTTACCGAGATGTCGAGCGACTGAAGCGGGCGTTGACGAGTCTCCACAAGGGCCTATGCTGGGGAGAAGGACACGGTAGAATCTGAAATGGCAATTACCTGTCCTGCTGGGGTAATGATGAAGTGGATCAAACGGAATAAGAGGAAACAAAAACTGAAGGTCGGTTATGGCGGCGCCCATGCACAGCTGCCTGAAAGCGTCTATAGATGCACTGCCTCAACTCGTGCACCAAGTTCATTTGGTGCAATTTGAGGCATATTTCACCTGTCTAGGTCAATTTTTGGTCAACTTTGACAGGCCATTACTTTGTCTGTACTTAAGGTAAATTTTCTTTTTTTGGCTCTATAGAAAGCCCAAAGCAAGTCAATTATAGATATAATATAATCATTATGATCTGTTGAGTAGCCACTCCGCCACCTTCACGTAGACGTTATAAGAAATAACAAATGTTGAAAGTTTGAGGTTGATTTTCTCAAAAACCCCATTTTTGTAAATTTAATTTCTTTAAATTCTTTTAGATATATTAGTCTACTACAAGAAAAACAATCTAGAAATGTAATATTTCGGTTGTGTGTCCTCTATTTGAGTTGTAATCACGTGAATTGTGTACTCATTTAACTAAAATGAGCCCACATTTCTAGCGATTGCGGCTCAAATAGAGGACATGCAACCAAAATATTACATTTTTAGACTGTTTTTTCTTGTAGTTGACTATTATTTAATAGAATTAAAAAAAAAAAATTTACAATTAAAAATGGGATTTTTGAAAAATTTGATTTTAAACTTTCACAAACAAACCTCAAACTGGCATTGTGTGCCTCTACGATTTGGAAAATATGTTTTTATTTTTGTTTACGTTTTCAAAAAGAAACATAAAGTAGACAAACTTGTGATATTCATTGTAATTTCGAAATTGAAATAAGAGAAACCATATAAGCACACTACAAAACAATGAGTAACAAGTATATACAAATCAGAAGGCCTCGCGACATGTCAAAAATTATTTCTTAGAACGGTTCAGAGTAAACAAGGGTGGCTACTCATTATGCAGCCTATTACGAGTGAATGATAAATTCTCACACCATTCGAATCTTGTACGTAAATCTTCTGGAATTTCTTTAACGAGTTTCAAAAGTGGACAAAAAAATACATTCCCCATTTCTTCATCAGACGCGCCCAGCGAAGAAAGCACATGTGAAGTCTTTGGTCCGTCATCTTGCAGTTTGATTTTGCTAAAAACACGCGGTGCAAGGACATCACTGGAAGAGCAAGTTGGTTTCCATCTTTACCTGCGTGGCTACAACCGAACAGGGAACAGAGCTTCGGCGTAGTGAGTGACGACATCGTCCATGACTCGTCCCATGCACTTTTTGCGCTCAACGTCGTCGAAGGGCAGCTGGAGGAAGTAATGCCTATTTTCACGCAGCTCGTTTATATTTCAGACGGTGCTCCAAGCCACCTCAAAAACAGGCACCAGGCGTATGAATTCAAGAAAAAGAATGTCGTCGCCAAGTTGATATTCTCCGCATCAGAACACGGGACAAGCTCGTGTGATGGAGTGGGCGGCGTGCTCATGCACCAGGCATCCATGTATGACTTGACAACTACAGAATTTTACTCCAACCCGAACGCGCAAAGCTTCGTTTAGGCACTCAAACCGAAAGTCAAAGGGATCGTTCTACTCTCAATTCCCGAAGAGAATCTCGCGCGTTTCCGGGAGCTCAATAAAAAAGAGTGGGAGAAGGTAAACCCACTAAAGGGCATCCGATCCTCACACGTGTGGAAGAAGACACCGGAGGAAGGCGCCTTGAACGTTGCCCTAAAAAGATTTGCGAAAGCACAGAGTAGCTGCATACACATGTCAAGGCATCGACGTATCGCTTTGTGACCCGAAATTTCGAAAATCATCAGTGAGTGTGTTTCGGCATTTTCAAAACTGCAACTGTGGACTGTGTGGCTCGTACACAGTGTTAAAACCGATTCACAGATACGTCAAACTAGTAAAAAAATTTACTGACTTCGGAAATTGTGCCATCAATGTTTTTTGTGTTTGTTTTACTGGTTCTGAGCGCACGTTCCTACATTACTGAGGTGCACAAACTGTGCAGTCAACCGTCGGCGATCGGCCAAGATGTGAGGATAACAAAACCCGGCACATATTTACCAAAGAGTTATCTACAGGATTCGAATGGTGTGAGAATGTATCATTCAAGCGTAATAGGCTGGGTTATGAGCAGCCACCCTCGTTTACTTTAACCGTTCTATATAGAAATAATTTTTGACATGTTGCATTGCCTTTTCATTTGTATGTAAATGTTACTCATTCTTTTGTAGTATGCTTATGTGGTTTCTTATTTCAAGTTTTAAATTACAATGAATATCACAAGTTCGCGTAATTTTTGTTCCTTTTTGCAAACTTAAATAAACATAAACACATATTTCTGAAATCGTAGAGCTGCACAATGCCGGTAAGGTTGCTGGATTTTAGTCAAATGAGCATAACATTTCACGCGATTGTGGCTGAAATAGAAGACATACAGCCAAAGTATTGCATTTGTAGATTTTTTCTTGTAGTCAAATAATATATTTAAAAGAATTAAAAGACTTTACAAAAATAAGGTTTTTGAGAAAATTGACTTCAAATTTTCAATATTTGTTATTTTTCGCAATGTTTAGTGAAGGTAGCGGAGCGGCTAGTTAACAGATCATAATGATATTATTATATTTATAATGGCCTTGCTTTGGTATTTCTATAGAGCCAAAGAAAGAAATCTTACCTTGAGTACAGACAAAGTAATGATTTGTCAAAATTGACCAAAAATCTTCCTGACTGAAGAGTTTGACATTTTTTTTAGAAAACAATAAAATTCCTAAAAATATTTGAATATGTCAAGGTATCTTTGTACTACCTATTAAATGAGGGGAAAAAGTTAAAAGGGTGGAGTAATACACCATTCACACGGTCAACATAAAGGTACCTTTTACACAGGTCCCTTTGCTATTGGCAAATCAGCCCGCGCTCTTGGGTCGCGAGCACACGCCACGCGGGGAAGATCGCTAATTTATTGGCCGCAAAGAATAAAGGTCCCTTAGCTAAAGGTACCTTTACGGTCGTGTAAATTGGGTATAAAAGATCTAGCGCCAGCAGAGGGTGTCAAATGCACAACCTGCGACGGCAGGCAAAAATACTAGTTTCTGCCACTGCGGCTTCTACGCTTCGTAACTCGAGAACAAAGAATCCGAGGAACTTGCAGTTTGCGCCCTTCTTCATTCGAGAAATGCCCCCAAAACATATATTTTATGTCAAAATTAAAATTTAAACCCTTTTAGCCTGCCCGATTTGAGTTGAAATCACAGCATAGACACAAGATTGAGGAAACTGAGACTTGCATCAAGGTACAGATGTAACACCGGGGAAGATGTACCGGCAGGAACGGCGAAGAATATTGTAGAAGAAAGGGGGAGAAAAATGTGGGAGGCAAGAGTGTAGAAGAAACCAGCTTTATACTTCGTTCACCCTCAGAGGCCGATGACCAGACACGAGATTCTGCACGGCAGAAGATCTCCTCACCATGGGGAAGGAGGAAGCAGGCAACGGTGGACAGGTTAGAAGGGGGGGAGAGCAAAAAGGGAGGGAAAAGTGGAAAGCGCAGAGCGGTCATCGGTCTTTAAGCTGAGACTATGGTGGGAGCTACGTGCCCGCTGGACATTTTGGCTGCCTCCCTCTTATCGCCTGACCCAGCTCTCCACTTGTGGATGTGGCTGGGAGCGTGGTGACATGGTGAAAGAGAAGCATATGACTAACCCAACGAGGATGTAGCTTCCACTGTAGTCTCAGCTTAGGGGTGAACAGAGTGCAGGATTGTACAAGGCAAGCAAAAAAAATCATTAAAAAAAAAGGAATATTTGATAACTCTTGAGGAAATGCCTTATTGTTTGAGGTTGAAAGAAGTGTTCTGAGAACTGGGACGTACAGGGTCAAATACAAGGAGACAGGCATGACGTGCACATCACGCAAACAGGCCGTCTTTTTCAGGGTCAAGGGATTCGATGAGAACTGTGATAAAGTTAATGGAAGAAGAAGAAGATTGGAGGGAATAGGGGGGGGGTCTAAAATCGAGAGACTGATAGGGGTTAAAGTGATCTAATTAAATTAGCTTGAGCATAATTTAACTTGAAGTAAAAACAACAACAAAGCATTTGGCTAGGTGGTGCAATGAATTGCCTGATTCGATGAAAATGGCCATCATCTATTTATCCTTTCATCCATACTCACCAAATCCTCACTTAATCAGCCTCCGCTAGTCACGAAAGAGCTCCTCTTTCTGTGAAAAAAACAAAAACACTTTTGTCTTTTGTACAACTTATCTTTGAATGGCTAACCTAAAAAGGACAAAAAAAAAAGGATTAGGCAGAAGAAGAAAAAACAAAACGGGGCGGGTTCGAAGATTGTGGGATGGAAAGATTTCTCGTCTGCCTGCGTTTTGTCAGAGTGAAGAATCTCGTTCGACTGTTCCACCCATGTTTCATAAGTTTTGGTTGGATGTCAGGGCGGAAGCAGAAGTGTTACCATAATGCTAGCACTGGTTTAGATTTCCCTGGATCATAGCTCCATAGCATCCCACAGAACATTTTTTTTCTCGCAAAGCCTTACTAAACTAAAGGCAGCATTGTGATTGCCTTTAGTTCCGTTCTCGAGTGCGGATCGGAGCCACTTTTTCACAGCAGGCTCTATGGCAGTTTCCCAATGGAGTTGTTCTAGAAACATTGGCTTTAGCTAAAAAAAACACTGATCGATCACAAGGTTTTATTGAGGCAGTCGGTGCTTCATTATAACAAGCCACTAACAAAACAATAGAAGAATCACAATGCCTGTAATATAAATAATACCTAACAAATTTCCGAATCCTAGTGTTCATTGGTTTCAACTGACATGTAGTAGAAATTATTTCGAAATAGATCTTCTAAAAAAAAACTATATATTTGCACAATTGCTTTTGTAACTCAACACAACCTGCACAAAATAATATGAAAAAAAAAAAATCTCTTAAATAAAATAGCAATTTAGACATAGCATAATCAGCTGATTAAGGTTTCAAATTTGTAATTATGCTTCTAAATATTATGAATATCTTGTACAAATATCTTCTCATGCTTTCAAAAAAATGAAATGGCAGAACAATATTGGGCTTTTGGGGTTTCAGTAGTTTTTGTAGGCCTCGTGATGTGTAGTATTTCGGCTGTTTTTGTGACTTCTAAACTCCCCACTTCACCAGAAAACGAAACATAGAAAGAAAAAAAAAAGAGATGTTTACAACCTCCTATAATGCCGAATTAGAGTGCAGCTCTTGAGGAGGAGGAGAGGGGAGGGGACGGTACGCCCCTCCTCCTCATCCGTACCCTCCTCCTCCCTCCTCATCTACTCCTCCCAAGCTCCTTGCTTCCTCCCCCACTTCCTCCTCCTCACCTCCTTTTCCCCGCCCTTCTCCTTTCCCCTCCTTCCTCCTCCTCCACCTCCCCTTCTCCCCTCCTCCCTCCCGCGCGGTGCATTATGGAAAACGTCCCATAATGCAACGCGCGCTTCACCGCGGTGCATTATGGGGTGTTTCCCATAATGCACTGCGCGGTTCCGCTGACAGCGACGCCGCACAAGCCGGAACCGGGCGCCTAAGAGCTGTGCTCTAAAAAGCAAGAAAATATTTTACAGAAATGACTTTACGTGCCCCCCCCCATTCCCCCAAAACCCGCCCAGAATAAAAAGTCTGCAACAAAGAAAACAAAATGTTCAATCCAATAGGAATTACCCATCAACATGCTTGTGAACGGGACAAATCCAATGTGTCTGCAACAAGACTGAAAAAAAAAAAAAAGAAGAGAAATAAAAAATTTGTAAAGCCTGCACCATGAAACCTTGAACACAACTGAAAAGAAGGTCATGCAAGTAGTCTGTTACCACTCACTAACACAAAATAAACTTGCTTGTGAAATATCTGTGAATATATGCTTACAGATTGTGCCACTGGATAGGTAGAAAAATCGCTCCAGGAAGGCTTCCACCGGAGTTCAAATTCGGTCCTCCCATTTCAGCGTAGAACTATGTGGAAATTAGATCTGGCGGTAGATAAATGCTGAAGGAAATGACCCTCTGCAACACGGAGACAAAAATTATAGTGCCTTTATTTTCTTCAGAAGTGCCCATTAGTGACATGTTGAAAAAGGGGACATTTTCAGGGAATTCAACCCCCCTTAGAAATCTCTAGCCTCAAAATAAAAAAAAATAACACCAGTTGCAAATAATTTTTTTTATTACCTTTTTAATAAAACGATTCCGAATTCTATTCATTAGGTGGTGGCTAAGCATTAGGACCAAAATGTTAACATTGGAAATACATAGGGAGCTGCAACATCCCCTTACTATGGCCGTAGGCCTTACCCCAACCCTCCCCCCCCCCCCCAACACACACACACACACACACGCACATCGTTATTGCATATGAGCATGCACTTTCGACTAATTGCACCAAAGGATTTTCTGTGAAACCCTCAACTGACCCACATTCTTATTTCAGGAAGCTACTACTGCTTCGACAACCCAGGGGCCCTGCAGACTCAGATAGAGAACACGATGGCCATCAAGACATCTGATTTCAGCAGCCTCTACTCGTGGTACTCGTGGCCCAACACAGTGCTGTGCTTCTTGGGCGGCTTCCTCATCGACCGCGTCTTCGGCATCCGCATGGGCGCCATAATCTTCTCAACCATCATCATAGTAGGCCAGGTGAACCACAGACGTCGTCTGCATTGTCTGAATGAATTAGTCGCAGCTTCAACAGTCATTTTTCTGCTTTGTGGCTATGCATCCTGCCATTGTACACTCTCTCGAGGGACATGTGGCCTCAGATTAGTTTTTGACCACGAGTGGAGAGCGAAATGTGGCTCTTGATCCTTCCTTACACGTTCCCAGTGGACTGAACACCATACGTGGCCAATAGATGTTGACAGACGTGGCACCATGTGTCTTCGTAAAGTGTCTGTGCTCAAAGTCGAACCTGTCGGGGATTGCAGTTGTAGCACTGTTCCTTGGACTCGTGGCCATTTCAGGTTGTATTTGCGCTCGGTGCGCTGGTGAACCGGTTCTGGCTGATGCAGTTTGGCCGTTTCATCTTCGGGTGAGTTGACAAGCTCTGTCTCTATGCTCTTGTAGATATATTATGGTGATTGTTCAAAAAAGAGGCTGCCTTAGTTTTGGGCTTTGTGGGTTCAAATCTCGGCTGAGGCAGCCAGTTTATTGAAGGGTTACTTGGGCGTAGATGCCGTATAGATGATGTTTCGACTGTACGTCAAAGTTACCCAGGTGGCCTCAACTATTCGTCATTCCCTCTATGTATACTTCAATTCAGATGCCCCCCATTAATTTATTGTGTAGATCCCTAATCCTCATTTTCATTGCTGTTTGAAAAAATGATCAAAGAGACCCTAATGGTAAGCTAGCATTGGACTCACAACATCAGTGCCTTTCAACAGCTGACTGTTCTGGCTTCATCAGGAGCCATGAAAAGTAGTCTTCTGGTACCACCCCAATAGCTCTGGGCTCACCCATTACGTGTTGTGGTCTGTCTTGTCTCCTTGCCCACCACACCCTTCGCGTGCAGGGTCGGTGGAGAGTCTCTGGCAGTGGCACAGAACACCTACTCGGTGTGCTGGTTCAAGGACAAGGAACTCAACACTGTCTTTGGACTGCAGCTGAGCATTTCGAGGCTGGTGAGGGGACCTCTGTTTCTCGTGACAAATTTAGATTTTTTCTTTAGACCTTGCTGCAGTAGTATAAGAACCAGTTTGTGTTTTAGACCGTTTTGAAAATTACTTCCAGCGCAATAGCTCTAAAACCCACCTGGTCTACAGGTACAAATTTCTTTAGAAGATATTTCCCTTTTTTTAAGTCGAGCAAACAATCAGTGGTCTGTTTGAAACTATCAGTCAGAAGAATGTAGTTCAGGGGATGAGAACTGACTGATGCTCACCCTTAATTGAAGGTCTATTGGTTTGGAATTAACCACCACATTTGTTAGGAAATAGCTTGATCATTTTATGCACAGAGCCCACGCGTCCACTTTCTCGTAGGGCTCGTGAACGCCAATCGCTGTGCCTTACGAAGGAAGCTCAGTATGTGGCAAACCTAAAAATGTTCAAATAATTAAAGAAAAAAATGACCGTATCTCCACGTGGTGAATGATGTTGATTGGGGCGAAGCTCTGGTGGTGCTTGTCTGCGTAGATGCTGAGCCGCAGTATGCCGAGCCTTTCGTTTGTTTTCATCCATGTCAGAAAGAAAATGTGGTTATATACGCATTTGAGCATTTAACCGCAGCGCCCTCTCGTCTATAAACGTTGAGCCAATGCATGCAAAGTTTAACGCGATTATATACGCATTTGACCGCAGCGCCCTCTCCTGTATAGACGTTGAGCGGCCACATGCAACGTTTCATCCATGACATCCCCAGCTCTTGAGTTACTACCACATCTCAGAGCCCCCTACTCGTCCCGCAGTCGTGGCCGAGTGGACTAGAAATCCATTGGGGTCTTCATGCACAGGTTCAAATTCTGTCAACTGCGCAAACTTTTTTTTTATAATTTTTTTTTTGTTTTACGTTAGCATGTGAGCACGTGAGCACGTTGGTTCACGAGCACGAGCACCAGCAATATCGATGTGAGCACGGACGCCGGACGAACAAGGCTAGACCCTAAGGAGCTTCGCCCCTAAAAAAAGTGACCTGCACCAGGATGTTGGGCATGACTTTCTCGTTCTCAAAATTGTAGTGCAGATCCCATTTCTGAGTCCCAGTATTATCGGTTCATCGTCATTGCCTGTACTCCTTCCTTAAATTGCAACAATAGGCTTTTACAGGGAGCTGTTATGCGCTAGGATCTGGGAAAAAATGTTTCAGTGGATGTTGACAGAAAACTCCCCCTTGGTCGTGGCGAGTATGAATGAATAAAAATAAAAAGAGGGGCCAACCAGCGTGAGTCAGCCTTCCTTGGCATTATTAGATAGTGAAGTCCTGATTCCTTGTTATCATCTTTAAACACCGTCCTCGAGGTTGTCCTCGAGGTTGTCCTCGAGGTCGTCCTAAAAGTCGTCCTTGAGGTCGTCCTTTTGGTGTCGTCCTCGAGGTCGTTTTGGGCATCATCCTCTAGGCGTCGTCCTCGAGGTCATCCTAAAAGTTGTTCTAGACGTCGTCCTCGAGGTCGTCCTTGAGGTTGTCCTAGGCGTCCTAAACGTCGCCCTCTAGGCGTCATCCTCGAGGTCCTCCTCGAGGTCGTCCTAGAAAGAGGTCGTCCCAGAAGTCGTCCTTGAGGTCGTCCTAGATGTCGTAAAATTAACAGCTTCACTGGTCCTTCATCGTTATGTGAAGTGGAAGGGCTCTACAATTGTTTTTGAGCAGGAAAGCAAAGCTGGAAGAGTTGCTCATGACAAATAATTAAGTTACCGTTACAGTTACATGAGCTCAAATGTGATTAGGTTACAGTTACACTTTCAAAATTGTAACTCACTACAGTCACTAATAAACAAACAAAGTTGTTTTTTGCTACTAGTAATATATTTCATTAGGAGGGACTGCGATTACTGGCATGCTTTCAGTTCCCAGCATCCTTATCTGTTCAGGCAATTCTATTTGACTCGCTACTCTCAACAGGTTTTAAAGCAGCGGCATAGACTTCGTGACTGAAAATACAGCAATAGACCAATCTTACCAAGCGTTTGGCGCATGCATGAAGCTGCCATAACTAGTAGTAGTTCACAAGAGGCAGGCGGCAGTGCCCGAGACGGCTTGTGCCGTCTTGTGCCCTTGGCATGCAAAGTTGCAGCGAGGTTCGGGCACATGCGGAAAGATTAAAGTTCCCTCAATGCATTGCGGCAGCGGTGGCGTAGTCAAACTGGCAGGTGAGATCGGTCTATTGGAAATATGTTTATTTGTGAATGTATATTATTACAGCACATACACACCTGCAATAAAATGTCAGAAAACTCGCACTGGTTTGACTAGAATACATTGAAATAGCGAAACGATTGCACATCACCAGAGCGATAATAATATTTAAACAAAAACTGTTCAGTGCCATAACTAGCGAAGTGACGACTACCCATTTATTTATTGGAGCATATAGACTCATATTTTTTCCCACTGTCCTTTAAAATCAGAAGTAAAACTATAATTATAACTAGTGTTGCGCGTTTTCAGGCAAATTCAATAAAATCAGAAAATGCACGCCAATAAAATTTTTTAGCCAATTCAGATTGTTCCGAAAAACAAAGTTTAAGTAACAATGTCCCCCCCCCCCCCCCCCCCCCAAAAAAAAAAAAGGCAATTATGTACTTAATAAAGTGCTTAAAACGTTTAACGATCAACAATCAGGCCTGAGGTTCACATTTGGGACTCCCAAAGAAAAACACCAGATTCAGTTTCTGGATCTCGGTGTCGATGTGAAGGAGGAACATGTTTGTTGGTTGCACCATCCCAAAACCGCCAGGTCCCTGCTTGATTTTCGGTCCGCCCATTTAAAGGTCATAAAAAATGGTATTGCTGTGTCATGTATTTGGTCTGCACTATCAAAATCTTGCGAGCACAAAATCAGGGAAAGCATTTCGGCCCAAACGGCGAGGCTCCAAGAAGCAGGATTTTCTGACTCAGTGATTACTTTGATCTGCAAAAAAGTAGGATATCAGGGTAGATGCAGAAAAATAGTCAGGGTTGCACAGTGAAACATGGTACAAAGTTTGCATCATGCAACGTTGGCACAGTGTGTGTATTTTTACGTGCGAACAGGTCTATACCGGTCAGACGGGGTGGTGTTTAAACATCTGTTTTAGAGAGCACCAAAGTTTGTTGAAAGGATTTGCTTACTCTCATCTTGCTATGCGTTCTCGTGGTTGTGAGTGTGAGCCAAGATTAAGTGACGCGGAGTAATTTTTAGGCAGAAAGACCAGCTGTCTAGAGAGATAGTGGAGGCGTGCAAGATGAAAAAGATGGGAACCTCATACATCAGCCAACCATCATTGGCACTGCTGGACAGTGAAAGGACATTTTTGGATTTTGAGCTAGCTTTTTTAACCCCTGTCATTACACTTTTATTACTGGTTATGTGAGTGCTTGTAGGAATCACACTGCCATAGAATGAAGGGCCGTTTTCGGTTGTCTACCTAATAAACTTTGTCAGTTGACAGTCAACACTCGTCTCGCGCGTTCCTTTTACGTCCTCGTATTTTCCAGGCTGTTCCCACGGTGAATTCCTGCAGACTCGTCCAACGATCCATTGTTCTAAAGAAAAATAAAACTTGGAATTTCAGAGAATTTGGAATCTAGCAAAAACAAACTCCGATAAACCCTGACTTCTTACTGAAAAGTGAACACCGAAACATTTTTCCTTTCAGAATTTTATGAAAAATAAACTCTAAAGACGCGGGACCCTTATTATAAGCAAAGTAGGCTGACACACAATAGTGAGGAAAATTTCGAAATCCATCGACTCACCCGAGTTGTTATGATACATCGGCCGTTTCTCCTAGAATGCCGTTGCAAAGCAGTGCGGCTTGATGCGCGTGCGCCAGTGCTAAGTGGTGAAGCATGACACCAAAGCGCTAGTGCAAAGCATTGAAGCTTGATTCCTGAGTGCTTGTGCAAACCAGTGAAGCCCAGCAAAAAAATATAAATAGCCTGATGACATTTTTTTTTTATACTTGTACTCTTTAATGCTTTTAACACTTAAAGATTGCTGTGAATCGATTCAAATAGCAAACAATGTTCGAAAATTGTTTGAATTTTCCAATATTCGCACGTCTACTACGTACTGAAATAAAGATATTGGCAGTTTTTGAGCAAACAATGCCTTTTATTACAAATCTAAATCTCGCACGCATGTTTGGACACTTTATAAATACATATATTTCTTTGTTCAAAAAAGGTTCCATCTTTTTTTGGAGTAAAGCGCGAAACACATGTACGACGAAACCGTCCGATCCGACGTCCGACCGCGCAATACGACAGTCGGAGGCGAGGGTTTTCAACGCTCTCCGATGCTACAAAAACCCTCTCCCCCCAAGGTCATTCCGGCAGTCCGCACGTCTGATCGGACGGTTTCGTCGGACATGTGTTTCGCGCTTAAATGCAGTGATTGAACTGCTCTGGAATTGTGGTTAGCGTACACCTCCCTTGTCCACCCTCGCGTGTCAATTCAAAAAGTGCACATGCTTTGAAATCGCCAAGTGACTTGACTCTTATTGAAACATTGGCTGCTTCTTGGATGCTTCTAGGATACGCGTTTTTCGTTGTTCCCACCAGCTTTGGCCACCGTTGTGCTTTGTTTAGCATTGCATGTCTCACTCCCAGCACCGTCTCCTCTCCCCAGGGAAGCATGGCCAACTTCATGACCATGCCGTTCCTGTTCACGAGCTTCTCCAAGCTGTATTCCGGCACCACTGGGCTCGGGTTCACCCTGCTTGTGGGCAAGTCTTTCCCTTCACTCCCCACGGCGTTCTCTCTTTTGCTTTGGATCCTTGCCTAAGGCCACTGACCAGCAAAATATTTTTGCTAAAGGCAAATCTTGGTTAAGGTGAAATAATTGACATGAAAAGTTTAGGAAACTGCCCGATATTTATGCGCCGAGAGCCTACTGAACCTTGGCCCCACCTTCACTGACAGGGTGTATTCCAAACTTCCCTCGATCTCACTCCAGAATAAAGGTATTCTACCTCAGCGTTCGAAAACCTCCTGACGTCCGGCGTCGCTTTATTAGTTTCATCGCGTGATGTGACCCGCGCTTCTTGGTGGTAACTCGGATCTAATCGAGTAAGATATGTGATACAGTTGAAATGACATTTTGTGGGCCTTTCATTGGTTGCGAGAACACTTGACTCGAGACAGACAAGACGTCAAGTGAATGTGGTAAGTGCCTTGCAGTCTTTCTGTCTCAAAACCAATCGGAGGAACGCAAATCAAGATTTTGTACAGTTCGTCAGTGTGTTATTTTCGGGGGCAAGGGAGGAATTTGTTCTCGTTAATTAGCTTATCAGAAACATTTTGGTTTTGGCCTGTCCTGTGAAGTTTTAGACAGGCACCCACAGACATTTCTTATAAGATCCACGTTTCTTAGATTTTTAGAGGTTTTTCCATGTGATGCGCGCCAGTTGTGGGTGCCTGAGAATTGTTTGATCCCCTAGGCATGCAGCAATCGATGCTCTGTGGCCTGTGTGACATTCTTGACGGGGCCTAAGAATCACCTTGCATTTGGTCTGTAGCGGCATTCTGGTGCCTTCTGTCGATGCTGTGCGCCGTGGTGTTGGCCGTGCTGGATCGACGGGCCGCGAGGATACTGAAGCGAGAGGCCGCCCAGACAGGTGCCTTTCTGTTGTTGATTTTGTTTCGTCTTGTCTTTTGGAGTGTATAAACAGTCAAAAGCATGTTTTGTAAGATGCATACATTCTGTAATCTTGGTTAGGGGCTTTAAGATTCAGAGAAGTGGTAGCTTAGTATGTGGCTAAATATTTTAACATTGCAGTGTTAAGGGGAAGCTGAAGAGGTTCTAAAAAAAATTGAGCTGAAGGTGAAATCTAGAGTATTTTTATGCCGCGAGTCCAAATATCATGCTCGTTTTTCCCGAGGATGTAACTAAACGCTAAAAACCTCCAACCAGTCATTACGTCGTAAAAGGATCTTTCAGCTGCCAAGCATGTGTCGCTTTTGTGGGCAGCAAGTGCAATTGCGAACTGGCCAGGTTGCTACGCCTTTTTCTGACCTTGAGACTAGCAAGAGTGCACGTGCATAGCTTTGATAGGCACCGGAGATGCTCGAGTGCAGATATTCTGAAAAATCTTTTTATGACATAACGGAAAAGAGGGGCTTCAGCGGTAATTTGAAAGTGATTTTCCGCAGCCTCCGTGCACCAAATTGAAAAATAACCTAGATATTCGTGATCCTGGAAGCCAAATGAAGACGATAGTGTTTTTCTTCAAATACGAAAGTGCTTCAGCTCCTTCTTAAGCGGTACGGTTTTGTAAAAAGTTTGAGTAACATGTAACTAAAGGTATTTTGTTGTGATTTGCCAACTGAAGCGATGGTAGATACCATCACCGTGAGGGGGAGGGGGGGGGGATGCACTGGGTGATTATGATGGTGGCAGGATAAATACATACAAATAATTGCTAGGGTGAAGTGGATTTCTTGTATTGTCATTTACAGGGGAACCTCACACACAGTGGGATGTTTATTCTATGCAAAACAAGAAAAAGATTAATTGCTTGGCTTATAATTGACAAGCAAGAACTATGCAGGACTTCAAGAATGCCTTTGCGAACTGTTTGGGGTCAGTAAACCTGCATTTGAGAGCCAGTGTTGCGGTATTCGTTAGATCACGCCTGAGAACCAGTCTCTCTTAATCTTGATATACTTTTGCAGAGAGTCTTTGTATACAAGTACTACAATTTTTTAAATTTTAGTACAATTGTGGTTATATACTTTGTGTTCAGCAATTCCTCCCTGTCAGATTTCTGAGTAATGTATAGCTAAGTACTATATCCTTGTTTTGGTTATATTCATAACTATGTGATGTTTTGTTTTGTATATTATAATGGATACTTGGAATATGATCTTTGGTGAACTGTGCCATCCAGAAACGGCGTCGTTCACAGTTTATGCAAGAAGGCCTAGTGCGAGAACATATGACGAGGAAAGCATTATTTTTAATCATTGTGTTCTGGTCACACTCTTTTTGCCTCATGCTTTTTGTTTGAACTGCTCAACATCTCGGGGTGTTTCAGTGCTGGTAGAGTGTCTGACATTGTAAAAAATCTCTGAAGTGAACCTGTGCAGTCCATACAGTTGTCCCGCAATTTGGCTAAAGAATAGTTTTGTCAAGAAAATTAGTTGAGGAAATTCTGCTGAGCTTTACTGGCCTACTCATGCAAAGGACCTAAACTCTACTTTCCGAATATGTATACATAACTGCTACCAATTAATGAAGAATCAAGTGTTAGATATAGTATCAATAGGTGTTTCAAAGGCTAATCTCAGTGCCCGAGTTCTCTGGCTGTCTTGACATTAGAGTCCTGTATTTCTGGTTCTAGGTGTCTTCGTATTTGTATGTACACCCATGAGCGATATGAAGGTGAACAGCCCTCTTCTTGTTTTTGACGCTCCTGCAAGTTTTGCAACGAGCTCTGTTCCAGAAGAGTGCTAGAACGCAAAGTTTAGACCCCAAGCCACGTACCATTTGAGACGTTGAGAGTTAATATAGCTTTAGGGAGCCGTAGAACAGGCAAGAAACCAGGTAGGGTGTTCACCTTCATATTGCCGGCGGGTGTACATAATTCGTCTGGAATAGTTGGCCTTTGTGATCGGGGAAATCCTTATAAACTACAGGAACTTTGAAAAGTGTTTCAAAGGTCTGTTTTAATGAGCCTGACACCACACACCTTGGGATAAATAAAAAACCGAACACTGTACTTTTTTTTTTTTATTGTTTTGTGGTGGGTTTACTATTTGTCCTCGGATCACATGTCAACAGTATACACCGTTCGATCACTTATCACCGAAGTGATAAATCTGGAGTCACTGCGGTGTGGGGGACCGATATGCAGCTTCTGATATTCTGCGGGAGAGAGGTATTGCACATCCTCAGAACCTGCACCGTAGCCCAGTAGACAAAAATGACTGTGCACTAAAGGCAATTGGTGGAACGGTGTGTGGCATTCTGCTATTTGTATCGTGTTTCTCCGAGTGGATGGCCAAGACAGTGTTGTGCGGTGTTCTTCTTGCAGGAGACGTGGTTCGTCTCCAGGACGTGCGTGACTTCCCACAGACCTTTTGGATGCTGTGCTTCGTCTGCGTCTCATACTACGTCACCATCTTCCCTTTCATCGGCTTGGGAACGTGAGTGTGCGCACTTTGGATAGGCCTATCTTTTTTAGCACACTTGGCAAGTATGTTTATTACGTGGCATCGGAATGTAGAGAGTTTCAGATTGCAGAACATTGGCCACAGTGTGACCAACATTGAGCGTTGTACAAGATGAATCCTGAAACCAGGGTTTTGGGAACCGCAGTTTCAGTCTTGTGACTCTGAAACTGAGGAACTGGGAGGAAATGGTTTCCAAGCGCCGGCGAGAAATTAAATTTAGGATGGAGAATTATGTTCCACAATCTCGTGGATAGCAGAAGAATTGCTAGTTTCAGATTCAACGTAGTTTTGAGCTTTATCACAAGCTGGTGGACTGTCAGAAAGAGTCCTGGGAACGTTGGTTGCCCTTGTCTAACATGGCTAACTGCTTGCACCAGTCTTCGTAACATACGTGGCATTATTTACATAATTCACCTGTATTGTGGCATATTTTTTAGACCTCGAGAGCTACAGGGACATTTTAAATGATGTTATAGGCGTCGCTTAACAGATGGTTGTCGGTAAGCATCACTGTAATTTCTAAAGCAGACAAAAATGCTAAATATTAAAGAACTGCAATCGAGGCTATGACAAAACTAAGGTAGAACACAAAGAAAGCATACTGCTGGGGATGTACTGTGTACCATCTGTGTTTCACCGATATAAGCATTCCTTCGTTGAAAAGGGCATGTGCTTTGGAGGCTAGCTCTCAGACGAACCAAAAATGGACAACATCAGTTAGAGTACACTAATTTTCAGAAGTAATAGCCTTTGGTGGAAAACACATCTTGTAAAGCCTTATTTTTTTTTTTTTTTTTTTTTGTCTAATTTGACGTAGTTGTAGAAGTTTTGGCATTTATTTACACGCCTCCCACACATACATTATATTTTCAATATATTAGATATTAAAATCTTTTTCTCACATTATACCAACCTCTGTTTCTTTTGAAAGAACAGCTAATTGGCCACATTTTGATGTGTCGTATAGTTCCGTACGCAAATAAGTTAGGAAAATAAAAGCGTTTGCATGGATCCTTCGGAAATCACTACTTTTCCTCGTGGTCAGTAAAGTAAAGTGTTACTAAACTGGAAGAATGCTTCTTCCTCTAAGCAGGGTTTTAGCTTAGTAGATCCATATAGTGTTGATGCATCACTTGCCTTTCCTTCAGAAGTCAGCGATGAGATGGGAACAGCACGGCGTCTTTTATGAACGTCTAACCTCCAGCACATGCTCCTTGCCTTTGAGGCTCCCAAGACGCCGAAGCGTCATCAAAAATAGGAAGTTCTCGCTGGAGGTGACCCAACTGAATGACCTTCCTGCCATTCTCATCATGTCAGTGACTATATTGTGTGTAGCAATAATTTCGTTGAAAAAAAAGCTCATTTATTAAATGGTGTGCCAATACCTTCCCAATATTGGTGCTTCCTCGGTAGTCGGTGTAACGGAGCCATAAATGCGGCGGTTGGTGACGCCTTCATTTGCCCGTTCCGTCCATGACTGGTGTGTCTGTTTTTGTTCTTCTATTCCTGCTCCGCCCACAGAGTGTTTTTCCAGCGCAAGTTCAGGTTTGGCGCAGTGGAGGCAAACTTGGTGGACAGGTACGTCTATTAAATGCGATTGCACTTACGAGTGAACCTTTTGCACTTGCGTGTCCATGGCTCAGTTTGTAACCAATGAAGCAGGCGTCGTACGTCTGTTACATGCTAACTTCAATTATACATACGGGGAGGTGGTGCGGCTAACACATGTGATATGGTATTTACTCTGCAATACATTTATGACGATGTCTTGCTTATAACGATAGGTTTCTAGACTAGAAACAATTAGTTTTTGTCCAGATACAACGATAATAGGTTATAAGAATTGAAATTTCGGGTTTTCTCGTTACCATCATAAGAGAATTGCACTGTATTACCTTCTGAATGGCAAATGCAGTTACAATGGTCTTGTTATGTTTATTTATACATATTATATTTATATTCATATTAGAGAGATATATTTGAATTGGAGTAATGCTGCGACAAAAGTTATTGGTTGGTCACGGGAGGCCCTTTTGTGGGAAGTAGACGGATGAGAAAGTTATGTGAATTAGTTTAAATATGATAAAAAGGCTATATGTACATCAATTAAAAGTATTTCTAGTATATTGAAATCAGTTCCTATGCAGTTAACGCCTTAACCGTTTTGGACAAGCTTAGTGTGGAGTCATCCTCAAACCGTTCAGGACGAGTATAGCTTGTCTGCTTTCCCCGCTTTACACACTTAACTGCCCTAGACGAACCAGGCTCACTTATGACTTAGCTTTGGGCTTTGCCAACAGATGGCAGCACTGAAGTTTTCAAAATTTTGCTCCCATTCTGTTTGTTACAAGAAACTTAATTTTAAAGGCAGCAAATGTAACTTTGAAGACAGAAATTAAGCAGTTGGGGGTCAGAAATTCCCCAAAATTAAAAACTTTAAAGGGGTTAATAAAGAAACGTTTGTGCAACACGAGGCAGAATTCTATCGCATTTCAACGAGGACAATCTGCGCAGAAATTTCGGCAAAACTCTTTTTGTTTTAAGAGCATGAGGGTACCTCCCGCCCGCTCTTTGCAGCATTCCGTACCTGATATCGGCGTTCGCGTCTCCCGTGTTCGGCATCCTGGTGGATTTGGTTGGACGTAATCTTCTGTGGGTGACGGTGGCAGTGGTGGGCACCCTCGTGAGCCACGGCCTGCTGGCCTTCACCTTCATCAACCCCTGGGTGGCCATGGTGGGTGGCTCGAGATCGGTCCTCCTCCGTGTGATTTTTGAATGTTGAATAATAAAATCAAAAGGGACGGTTTACACAGCAATGTTATCGCTGTGCCATTTTTGTGTTACATTTCGCCAACGCGCCTAGCTTGCTACATCTTGTTACTTTTCACTAAAATGTGGCGAACTCGAACCAACATTGTGCCAGCAGAAAATTCCTAGAAGCATATGAATATTCGAAACTAAGTGATTTGCAAATACTATTTTTAATTTATGGCACAGTAATATTCGAAAATTAACTAATGACGTCTACAGAATTCTTTGGGTTCTCGCGTCGTGCTTCACTGCTTTGCACCAACACTCTGGCGTCAAGCTTCACCACTTTGCGTCGGCGCATTCCTGTCTCGAGCTTCACTGCTATGCATCGAAGTGCTAGGAGAAACTGCTGACGCTTCGGGGCATCTCGTTTGGTTCGATTTACAACAATAGCTCTTATGGGCGCCTTCCACCACTGGAAATGACGTCCGTTGTTGATGTTGTAGTGTTCTTTGCTGTCGCTCTTGATGTTTTGGTTGGCGTAGTAGGGCATTCATTGTCAACGTTCATAAATCTTCGAACAAGATTGCTCGCCACCCGCAAAAATGAACCTGGATCCGCCGCTTGCGAAACGAATCATTACCACAGAGCTACGCCACAGCGTTAACAATCCGCTTTATACTTGGGGTTCTTGTAGAACCCGATGCCCGCTGCATGCGCTCTCTGAAAAAAACAAATAGGTGGTAACAAGATGCCGTTTTAGCACTGGCAATGCCAAGAGCTCGTGCCGGGAGACGCGCACGCTCTGAAAAAAAAAAAAAGAAAAGCCTGCGGAACAAAACGTTCAGATGTCTGTTTTGCTCCGAACGCTCTCGCTCGTCCACGCACTCCATGGTGTGTGAACGTGACGCCGATGCCCAACGACTTCGCCGTGACGTGTTGCAGCTGCAGCTGCAACTTATACCGCGGATTAATGTGGGACTGCTCCATTTTTTCTCCCAGCCGAGCCATCGTTGAGCTTGTGGCCTTTTTCGAGCCTCGCTCATGCCGTCCTTGCACGGGAGATCCGTTTAGGCCCCTCAACATTCTCGGCTTTCGACGGGGCGTAAGTGTAAGCAATGAGGAGAAGGTCGGTTTGGTGAGGTGCCCACTGAGTCTGAGCACGATGCTGTTTAGTGTGGGGTTGGTTTCTGTACGAATGTTTTGGTACTAGGCACTGACAACGTTTCCACTTAAAATGCACCCATTGGGGCCCGGAATAATGAATGAATGAGAATGGCAGGGCATCTCTTTCGGACGCCTGGCCTTTTGCACGCGCTCAATACCTTTCGCCATTCTTTGGCTGTGCGTACACACTCAAGGTTTATGACACACAGAAACTAGAAAGCTCCTGCCCTTAGGCGGGTCAGCCGAAACTGCTCCTTGCCACTCTCATCTCGTTGGCGGCCGTAGACTCGGAGTCCTCTCGCGTCTCTCATCTTGTCGTCTTTCTTGCTGCGCAGGTGTACATGGGGCTGAATTACTCGCTCCTGGCGTGCGCCTTCTGGCCTCTGGTGGCGATGGTGATACCTGAGAGGCAGCTGGGAACCGCCTACGGCATGTACGTCTCTCGCGCTGTTCATGGGTCTCCGAGATAGTAGCCTATTTATGGCCTTATAGCTCAATTCATGGGCTCTCTGAGTATTCTAAGAAAAAAACAACAAACACTAGACTAGAGGAACTTGCTCCCGATTTTCCTGTTAAAAACGGGATCGAGGATTGCGACGAGCCCCTTCTTTTGCGATTCGACACAGAAACCAGAGGGCACCGTCAATTTTGCAATAGGTGTTTGCGAGCGATCGCTTTTTACGTGCTAATTGCGTGTGTTCGAAAATATGCTCCGTTGTCAGTCGGCCCTCTTGCCGCGTGGGAAGCGATTGCTGGTTGGTCGCAGTCGAACACATTTGCAATTGACTGTGCTCGGGTGCATTGCATTTTCTCGTATAACCGCTTATGGCAAGAGAACACTGGCAAGCTGGTGCTGTCTAGTAGGTAGCCCTGGAACTGCACATGACTAGACTGAAGATTATGCAGTATTTGCAAAATCAAAGCTAAGCTCTATCTATCAGAAATGGTCGCTCGTGACGTTGGATTTATCTTGAACCTACGACGAGGGATTGATGCATAAAAAAAGTTTAAAAAACATACGCGTGGTGTTTTTTTTACTTCCCGCCGCCACGATGGGGGAAGAGAGATACTTACGGTTCTCTTATGTTTACCTCGTGTCTTCGGGTAGTTGCTCGAGAGCTGCACTCTAGCGATGCCCCCGTGTCGCTCTTTTGAGTGGTCGACGCGCACCGGCACGGTCAAGATTTTACGAATGAAGTTCTTTTGATTATTTAAAACGAGAGACGCCGTCAATGCCGCCGAGCCTGGGCAATCGCGAGGTGGCAGCATTAGCGGACGGCTCTAGCCTACTTCGATGCATTGCCAGCAGATGGTTCAACACAACAAACATGAGAATATGTGGCTCCTCGACCGACCATCCCCATACGGAAAACGACGGGTGCCAACCGTGCCATTATGGCACGTTTAATTGCGAGGGGACGCGGTGCTCCTGGAAAGAAACCTTGATTACTGAAGCAAGTGAGTCGAAACATTACAAGTTTTTGCACTAAGGAGACTCGCGTCGTGCTGAGAAGCGTAATAAAATCTTTCGGAAGATTGTCGGCTAAAACCGAGACCCGGCTCGGCGACCCATGCAGGGAATCTCGGAGCGAATCTCTGGTGCCTGAGGGAGGCACCATAACATCCCGAGCAAGCGCCAACTCAAAATTTGAAGATAACCACATAGAACTGGGGGATGGGCACTCCTTAGGGCAACAATACATAAAGATACGTCCTTCGTGTATCTTCCGAATGTTACAAAATTGAGGGGTGGGCACCACCCGCCGCTGTGAACGTATCGCGTGTCTGCGTGCCCCTCATGTCTCTGCACTCTTCCTGAAAGTCGCGTGACGCTCGGACGGCATTAAATTGGCTTTGTTGACACGGAGCGTCCCCTGCGGTCTGTCGTAAGGTGAAACGGGCATTGCGTAGGGAAGCTGACATTTGCAGTTGGACCGAGGGACTTCCATTCTTTTTCGCAGGATGCAATCCGTGCAAAATCTGGGCCTGGCCCTCATCTCCATGGTATCTGGCATGATTGTGGATTCAAGCGGCTACTTCATGCTCGAAGTATTTTTCCTGGCCTGGCTGTGCTGTGAGTCTCAACTGCGAGTTATTAGGTTGTAGTGTCGGTACGACCTCCAATTCAGGAATTCTAATTTTTCATGGTGTGGGGTCGAGACTTCCTTGGACCTTACTTGCATGGGTTTGTAGCGGCACCCAGCGAGGCCCATTTGAACGAGTTGTGGACCTTCGATTAATTTATTTGCATATTTCTAGATAAGAACCAAATTGTTTTGTACAGTGGCCATAATTGTTGGAACTCTGGCTGCATGTCCTGCACCGCGCTTATCACGTGAGCTACTTTTCTCCTTCAACCTCGCTGGGCCCTGCTTATTGGAGAGTTTTAGAAAATAGTTTCCAACACTCCGACAATGATTCCTGATACTCCGCCAACGTCTCTGCATGCCTTGCGTCATTACGGTGTATTATTATCGGAGTTGTTGGTATGATTTACTAAATCTCTTCTGGTAAGCATCGAGCTTCACCACCCCAACTTGTGCCGATTGTTTCCACAGTCAGTCGATCCATTGAGCCGTGTCAAGCTCGTCGTTGCAAGAGACAAGCGTGAGAATCTGGCCATGTGTCATTTAGGCAAACTGTGTTGTGCAACATTTTATTCAAGTTTTGTTTTAAAGGACAATCATGTTAACAGAGCGATGTATTTAGGGGTAATGCCATTTAGGTGTAAATATAACAGTATTGGATGGAAACCAAAAGTTCTGCCTCAATGGCTGCGGAGTTACTGAGGCAGTCGTTCTTTTGGTTGTAATGTATCAAGTTAATTAATTGCACGTGGCAGCAGTTTGTCAAGTGGCACAGCCTGAGCATAGTAGTACCAGTAATGTTGAGCTAAATTTTTGGTGTGCAGCTGAATCTCGTTACTTCAGACTCCCTTAATTCAAACTCGCGGATAATTGAAACTAACATGCAGGCTCTGTCCTGTGTGTTTCTATGAAGGAAACTCCCGGTAATTAAACATTGCATTATTCGAACAAAGTTCTGGTCCTCCTTGGGTTCAAATTAACGAGATTCCACTTTATTATGAAATTGTTACATATCGGCCAATAGTATCAGTACTACCGTAGATTTATGAGCTGTTTACCTCTTCACTAGTGTTGCCTTTCATAAAACTTTTATCTTTGCAGGTGCCTTGATAGCCTGCTTGCTGCTGCTCATGGTGAATGCCAAACAAGGTATACCTGTCAAGCAATATCGCACTTGAGCATTAAGGCTTTCATTTCCTAACTATGGAATAAGTTTGCGTAGGATGTTATTAGGCAGAATTAGCTAAGCAGTGAGTAGCATGTTCCTAATGCTCAGTCTTTTTATGGTTGGCACATCCCCCCATGAAGCAGGGTGGAGAATAAAAATCAAGATAATTTATACATGATGATTGAAACCTGAGACTGTGGTTTGAAAAATGGAACACTCGTGAAGGAGGAAGAAAAAGGCACAGACGTCTCAAGCTCAGCTACAGACTTTATTGCCTCGACACCTTGTATACCCCTCCCCCGAACGTTGCTACCACCACAACGGATGATCACCGAACCGCAAACAGTACATCAGAGCCACAATACACTGAACCGTAAACAATACACGAGAATTAAAAAGATAACTGTCAGCCTTTCCCTTCTGGTGAAGAAGGAAGAGCAGCGGAGCTGTAGCTTCTGTTCTCGGCGGTGGCTTTTTAGGCGAGTGATTTGCTCTTCTTTCGCAATAAAATCTGAAGCGCTCGACGCACGCGGCGGTTGCGGACCCATTCGCACTGCTGCGTACGTCGCCGCTCCTTCCGCACCCGGTCTTCTTCCCCCGAAGAAAGGGCACCCGACCGACCCATCATGAATCCAAACCGAAACTGATAAGAGCGTAGGGAACAGCGCGCAAAACAGACAAGGACGAAGAAGAAACTCGCAGGACGAGCGCAGCGCTCATCTCGTGAGTTTCTTCTTCGTCTTTGTCTGTTCTGCGCGCTGTATTTCCCACAATCTCGCCCAACTTTTCATTCTTCTATGATAGGTGGAAAGGTTGTCGCCATCTCTAAGCGATGGCAACAACCAGACTGGTTGCCTGGTTGCCGCTGTCGCTTATAGATGGCGGTAGCTGTCCAGAGGTTTGTGGAGGTTTGCGTCAACATTTCCCCCCCTCACGCTAATGCAATTTCCCGACGTTTTTATGCAAACAGTTTCTCACATAACACGTCTCATCTCCTCATGCTCTTGGTGTAAGATTTCTGTTTCTGACCAGTTCGCTGTACATCCATTGCATTCCTGGAGATGCCTCGCTAGTTCAGAGTTTGAAGCGTTAATCCGCACATTCCGTTTATGTTCTGTTAACCTATCGTTAATGCATCTTGCAGTTTTACCAACATATCGAAAGCCGCACTCCAAAGGAATTTCATACACTATTCCACTCGCACATGAAACCGAGCTCCCGCGATGCTTTTTTTTACATTCTGTTTGCCCTGCCTCAAAGGGAGTCGGTTTAGCTAATTTGAAATCACATGTAAAAACAGTGTCAACCCCAAATCTCTCTGCATACGCTTTCAAGTTATGCGAAATGGCCTATAAATGGTGATTTAAGTCAGGTTTGAAATTGTGATTTTAATCGGAACAGGTTTACTATACTCCGTTTCACACTAACTTGGCGAACTGTGGAGGCTAAGGTCGCTGCAACCCAATAACAGCTTTGGAGTGAGGCACCTGACACCATGTCACTAGAGCGTGTGTTTCACTGTGCCAAGGAACCGGCTGTCGTCTGCTGGCCAAAAGTCGTCTGCTGCGAAACCAACCAACTTTGCATGAACGTCCACTGCTGCAGCATTGTCGTCCGCTAAAGTAGCAAGCTGTTCAGGAACAATTCATGAGACAACCATATGCTCAATTTACTCACAAATATGTGGCGGATGCTTATACCAGGGTGATGTTTTGAGCAGAAGTGGTCGAGTACACGGCTGTGGTAGCCAACAGCCACGGCACTACAAAGAGAAAAATATTGGGAGTGGATCCGGATGGTGGCACCACTGTTTTGGTTTAAATATAATTTAAACTCATAAATTTGTTAACGTCTATTTCTTTATTTTTTATATATAATCTCGATAGAGAAGGAAGCGCGCGAGTTCAATTGCCGCTAAACGAAAAAGAAACCTAGAACTACTTTAAATCGCGGACGGCGCTGTTGCTGTGGGGATAACGAGGGTTCAGTGTGCCTCGACCATGGAGTGTTATCACGTGACTTTCTCCGGCGCTCTTATTGGGCGTGGGGGCCACAGCTTCCACCGTTCGCCAAGTTATCATGAAACGGTGTATTCAATAATTTAAATCCCACCTTTCTTGCTAAAATGATTCAAAATATTTTTTCTTACCAGTTATAATTTGTTGCTTTCTTTCTATGTGCATTTGTTTTTATTTAAATAAAATAATAGAGGAAGAAATATTCATATCAGGTTGAACACAAGCAAAATCCAGTGCTCTTCTGAGCAGTCGGAGCATTGAGCTTTCTATGTTTCATTTCATTTGTCAGTTAAATAAAACAATTCAGAACGCAAAAAAAAAAAAAGAAAAGAGAACTAGGAAAGTAATGTCTTAGGCAAGTAAATTGGAGTGCAAAAGAAAAAGCAAATTGAGTTGATTAACTAACTAAAAGTGATAACCTGTTTTTGTTCTAATATGGCGGGTCTACTCCTAATACAAAAGTTGTTAGACTACTTCCACAAAATGATCAGTAATCGGATGGATTGGCTATTTAATCTGCCATTTGATCCGCCATGTCTAAAAATACATTCTGCGATAAAGTATCGCTATTTTTGAGCTAATGTAATTTAAATCAAATCAGACTTAAATAAAATTAAATTTTATTAAATAAAAAATATATATAATTTTCTTATTCTGTTGTGAAGCCATTGCCACCTAGGCCGGCCTGCCTGAAATGCGCAAGACTTGTTCACTTCTGTTTTTATTGAAAGTAGGCAGGATGCTAGTGCAACGAGGCTGGTAACTGTAGTGGTACTAGTGGGCTTCGATTCTTTTGAAAATGGGTCATTGCTCCCATTTGTGAAAATGGCAGTGTTGAGAAGTACTTGAAGTGTATTGTACTTGAAGTGGTAGTTTAATTAGATTTAAAAAAAAAACAAAAAACTTGTGCCTTACTTGAAGTACATTCTTAGAGTATGTACTTGTACTTGAAGTATTTTTTCTGGTACTTTCCGAGGAAAGTACAACTCCCGATTTTAAAGTAAATTCCCCAAATTTGATATTTTTAAATTGGTATCACAAAATGATGCTTTGTCAACAAAAAAGTGGCTTGTAAGTTTATTGCATTAAATAATTCGTCACTGAGAGTAAAACAATTACTTTTTGGCCACTTCACTTTATCCAATATTTGCCACCATTTCTGAAGATAACTGATGCACCCCCGATTACCCCTGAAACAATGCATACCAATAAAAACAAACTATAGGGGAATGAAAGGGCATTATGAAAGATTGTGTTAAAAAGTATGTGTACTTTACTTTGAAAGTTGATTGTTTTATGGTCCTTTACTTTGAAAGTAAAACATATTTATAGTCTTTCTCTTTGAAATTGCATTGTATTTTTAGTGCCTTACTTCAAGTACATTGCTTCCGGTGTACTTACTACTTTACTTGAAGTACATAACCTCTAATTTACTTTGTACTTTACTTTAGGTACTTTTTAGATGTACTTTAACCAACACTGGAAATTTGTAAATGGGCTCCTGTGTTTACACTGCAAACAAATATGAGCTACGTTGAATATTTGACTCTGTCATGCATGACTGCAGACTCCTTCACTTTCTTAAAACACAATCCAGATGAAAACATTTTTTGAGTAGCATACAAGTCACGTTGAAATTTGCTACCAAGCCCCAAACAAAGAGTGGGGATCTTAGCTATCAAACCATTGGCCATTCATTACCAGTGCAACACAAAAGCATATAATTTCATTTTGTAAAGTGAGTGTGAAGGCTTTCAATTTAATTATTTATTTTGAAATTCTACTGATACATTTGGAACTTTAGTGGGGTGGTTACAGAATCTAAAAAATAAATATAAATAGTGCAGAGTGTAAACAATCAATAACAGGGAACAAGTAGTATAGATTATAGGGTGCACACATTCCAACTATATGCATGAATAATTATACTAGTATGTAATGCAGTATGAGCTCATTACAACACACCTTGGTAGTGATGAATATTTTGGTCTGTTGTAAAAGGAGTATGCAAAGTGCTGTTACTCTTGCTACATACTTTGATGTGGGTTGTGACTAGGGTTCCTTGCTTTCAGGGTTTATTTTTCTTGAAATTTAGGTTTTGTTTTTTTCTTTTGGGCTTACTATTCTTTCCAGAATCTGTGTTTTTCAGCATTTATTTTCAGTGCCGGGCAAGAAATAAGAAATCGGGATTTATCAGGGATAATGTTACAAAATAACTGCATATCTCTAAAAGTGCAAGCCCTTCCAGGGGCCATGGAATTTACACTTGTGACCCTAACACTTAAAAAACATCATCCCAGTAGCGACAACAGGGGGAGACGGGGGCCCGGGCAACGGACGTGGTTACTAAAGAACAACGAAACCTCAAAGACAGATAGTATGGGTTGTGTTCAGGGTCACAAAACCAATGTGGCAGATTTCCTTCCCCATAACCGGGGATATCCCTATAAAAGGGCAGCTCCAGTTCGGGGTTTTTCGGTTTTTCTCGATTTCAAGAAAACCTCTTTGGGGGTCATTCACTGGGGTTTATCGGCATTTGTTGAAAACACTGAACCCTAGTTATGACTGGAGTCTGTTCTAGCGAGTGAGACTGATAAAATGTGAATGGATTATTAGGAAAGAACTGATTTATTGAAAGTTGTGAGGTTTGAAAGAAGGTAGTGACGTTTTATTGAGCTGTACTGATGATCGTCATCACTGCGTTTGAAAGGAGGCAGTGATGTTTTATTGAGCCATACTGAGGATCGTCATCACTGCATGCTTTTGGTCATAAAAGGCTCGTGAGGCGCCAGTTGCAATGACAGCAGTTGGCAAATCAGTTGCCACCGCTACCGAACCAAAGCCACGTAATATCCGAAATAATGACTCCTGTTGGAGAGTGCACTATAACGAAATGGTGACCAACTGACAAACTTCTTTATAAAATCCATTAGATCCGAATGTATGTTATAACAGAATCTGTAATCAGTGAAGTTGGCTCGAGGGCATAGATAGGAAGACCATTCAAACTTCACAAATGGGTAGCGTATTAATCAAACGTCTGTTGTAACTAGAACTTTAGTAGTAGCAAGGTTATACTGTACACCAGTGGTTCTCAACTATTGATGTTTTGCGGACCCATTGTGGATAGGCAGAAATGATGGAGGAGCCCATTCATGGTTAGGGGAAGGGAGAGGTATAGGGTAATTACAATAACGATCTAATAAATGGATATAACTAATGGCTAGTGTGAAGTAGACTTCTCTCAATGACATACACACGATAGAGCTCGCCTGAAAATTGAAACGTTTCTTAATTTGAAAAAAATGCAACCTTTATCGCCGGGCTCGACTGATGGGGCGGGGCTTTGCGGTCCCCTAGAATGCCTTCTCGGACCTCCATTTGAGAACCACCGCTGTACACAATATACAAAATAACTATACTCGTTTTCACCTCAAAAAAAAAAAAAAAAAAAGGAAGTTTTGTTTATTGTTCATACACCACGCGAAGTAGTTCTTACAAGAGTTGGTTGTCGGAGGAAGAAGGGATGCTTTTAGTGTTTGAATTGTGTACGTCTTGATAAGATAACATACATTTAATCTAAAATGCACCTACATATATCGTAATTCTGTACATAAAGGGGAATTAGTAACGCTCTGTAATGAACCAGACTTTTTTTTGTTTTAAGGTTCTTCAGGTGAAAGCTGGGGTACAGGTACATATTAAAAGTAAACATAAAAATTATGACTTTCTATGCAGTTGTGGGACCAAAAGGTGAATAGTGCTGGTGCCGTTTTATTTGTTGTATTTGTTTTCTCAGCTTTGTATTAGTATAAGCTGTGAGAAATATAGCATGTACTTTTCGGTCTTCTTCTATCGTTTAACTCTCATTGCTGATGTTGTCACCCATATTTTTGGGAAAATGTCTAAGAATTTTTTGTCCTTTTTGTTTCTAGGTGGCGTCCTGAATCGGGATCGCACAAAGAAGGATTAGTATTTCTAGGTTGAATGGACTCTCTTGTGGCAATTGCTGCGAAGATGGAGTGAAATTTTGACAAGCGTTATCTCGTGCTTATTTTAGGCAACCCTGTACAGAATACCCTTTTTAAAACGCACAATTAAAGTGTCTCTTTTAAACTACACTTGTCTCACCAGTCATTGTTACATGCCTTTTGCCCATTCACTCATCTGAGGTTTACCGAGTAATCAGCTAGTTTGATTACCTGGTCTGCATGGAGCATACGATTCTAATTTTACGTGAAAGCATTACATGGTCGGTACATATAAAACGTTTTGTGCCTTCTTGGCTAAGCCGAAGGATTTCAATGCAATATGGAAGTGGGTGTCGTACAGTTGTCTTAATATTGGACCTTGTTAATATAGACCTTGTTAATGTGATCCCATTTCATATGATTACCTCGCTTCATAGACCAAATATTCGGGAATGAACGGGGCAGAGACATGCATTTTTGTCTTGTTGTAATAGACAGCTCATATTATGGAGGATGTTTTGGGGGACTGGAGGTGTCCATTAATGGGACATGAGTTTACCTTAGATGGCTAGTATTGAATACAACAATTTGCGATAGGGTTCTATAAATACAATAAGATGAGCAGATATAAATACATTTTATATCTATTTCCATGACAAAATAGTTTTTGAACAGCCACTATTTGTATTGGTTCTTTATCGAAATATTTCTAAACTGTGCTTAGACTAATACTTGGCACAAGTTAACTTGGTCTATACCCCTGGAAACATTAGGAGGGCAATATTCCTCACACTTTGTCTATCTAAAAAAGATGAATATTCTTTTTCTCAAATGTTGAGTTTTTGTTGTTTTACCAAGTCTGCCCCACCTTAGCAACCAGTACTATTAAAATAGTCAATGGCAAACATAAGTACTTATAATTATTACATTTTTCCTCTTGTGATGGTGTGATTGTGCCGTGTATGTCTGCTGCATTTCACCGCAATGTGAAAAATGTGTGCGAGTTAATTTCTCCTTCTCAACGACTGCAGTAACTGAGGAAAATTTTGAATCTTTCCGTTATTGATTTAAATAGTGTATTTGATCTTGGGGTTGAACAGCAACAAACGCGTGGGACGTTTCATCAGTTTTCTTAGTGATAAATATATCTGCTTGGGCGCTTTGCCTGCTCCGTTGAGTTCGCTTCTCCGAGGGCACCGATGTACTGCGGAGAACTACCACCCGCTGAGTGGAAAACACCCGAAGTGAGATACGTTGATCACTACTTGCAACGAAGGGTTGCATTTCTTTACTTATGTGTATACACTGCACCGTACGAGGACGGATCATGCAGACATGCATTACTCGTCGCGCGTGTATTTTAGAGTTATCTGCCGTACGCAACTTTGAATATTCCTTTGCTGCGTGGCAGCTGTGTGTTTAAAGGGGCACTGACACATCAAAATCATATTTTTTTTTTTTATTATCCGAAACGATTGAAAACGATGCCGGGACATTACCCTCCAAGTTTGAAATTTGGGAATTCAGTATTTGTGAAGTAAAAAAACAATTTCCAAATGCCGAATTCGAAGTTCCCGCGCGATCGGCGCCGGTGCCTTGACGTCAAAAATTGCGGAGACCTGAGAGTCCGCTTTCTTTCACCACTCCCTGCTGTTGCCATGGCGACCCAAAGCGAGGAGGAAAGGAGTGAGCGGCGGCGTTGCGGCGGACCGGTTTTGAGCGGTGTCGTCTGTTTTCCGTTGGAGGATACAAATCCAGGAGACGGCACCACAACGAACTCCCGATTTTTGGTATTTTTAAAAGAAAAGGGCCGCAGTGCGTTCGCAATTGCGTTAAAAAACATGTTTTAGGATTGCCGCAATTAAATGTTATAGAGATGTCGCCTACAAAGCTTCTAAATTTCCTGATTTTTGACGTCACCGATCAAAAGAAGCGAGGAGGCGAGAGGCGGGAAAATCAAACGCTAAAAATAAAAAGGCGCGCGCGCGAGCGGGAAAATTTTTTTTCGCGATGCGGTTTTTTTTTTTTTTTGCGTGTCTATGACTGCAACTTGCATCGTTTTAGACAATAAAAATAAATACGACCTTTGGGGTGTCAGTGCCCCTTTAAAAAAAAAAAACACTGTTTTACAGAAAAAAAAAAAAAAAAAACGCACACACACAGCGCGTTTGGTTAAAAAAAGAAAAGGTGAATATGAAGGGTTTTGATGTGACCACTGTACCCTGGAATAAAATTTGCAAAAAATATGAGGTCGTCTGCGGTGATCTACCAAAACAGCCAGGACGGACGTCTACTAAACTCGACTAAACAGCTAGTTAGCATAGCTGGGTTTTGTTACAGGTTTTTCTATCTCGTTTGACAGGTTTGGTTTGACAGCCTCCGAGTCACGATCCGAGTCTTCGACTGTTTGAGGATAAAGGGACTAATTAAATTAGCTTTAGCCGTGGGTGAATGGAGACTTTTTCAAGCACAGTTAGATTAAGAAAGTTTTGCTTGGTAACTCTAAACGGTTCTACAATTATTGCAGCGGATGCACGTTAATTTGCAGCAATATATAGTTGAAAGCGAAAGAGGGAAGGTTAGATGGCGCAAGCTACCGACCGATTCGAAGGGTCCAGTCTAGATGGACCATCGTATTTATCTACCCACCTACGCAACCGACGCGCCATCTGTCCGCCCGCGAGAGCAATCGTCTGTGCCCGTCCCTGGTCGCGAGTTGCGTGAGCGAGCAATCCCTGCTGCTTGGCGCGGCGCAGCGAGCGAGCAGTGACGGTCGCCGCCGGTGTATCTGGTGTATCCCTCGACGGTCCGCGCTGCATTCCGAACGACGACCAAGCGGCGTTCATGCGGACGTTTCCCAACACCAACGCTACAACCGGATACTTTGATCGGCCGTGCGTCCCGCCCACGCCCAGTGCGCGCCCAGTGGCTCCGAATTCGACGTCGCCCGAGCTTCCGCCATTGCACCGGAGACGTCGACCGAGTGAGCGCCGGGTGCTTTCCGTCTCACCGCTGCTGAGCAGCATCGCTCAGGTAATCACGACAGGCCGTTAGCGGCTCCGTCGCGCTGCCTCCAGGCTCGCGCAGCACCGGCGTTTTTTCTTCCCGACCATGACGGGAGCTACGGAGCGCGGCGGCGAACGGTCGGACGGACGTCGTAGGAAACCAGTCCCGCAAATTGCTGCGCTGCTGCTCCGTAGGCGCCGCGCGAAGGCCGGTCGCGCTGCCTTGAACGCAGGAAAAAACATTTGGGGTTCGGCGACTGACGGACTCCGTCCGCCGCTGCGCTAAGTGCCCGGCGCGGAGAGCGCCCGCGCTCCTCCGCGCTATCCAAGCATCCGGGGAAACCAACCGCCTTTCACCCTTCGGATGCTGGCCGCGCGCGCGCGCGCGCTTTATTTATTTGTTTTTTGCTCGTGCGTGCCCCTTTGTTGTTGTCTTTTTAAAGCTTTGGCCTTCCGAGTTTTCGCCAGTGTGCGCTGAACAGATGGCTGGGCCCCATTTTGTCCGGGCCGACTTGTTGGAGAAAAAAAAAAACCACTTGTTCGTCGACAGATGGGGCGGGGCTGGCAGCCAACGGAGTGTGTGTGTTTACTCGTTTAGCTGACGCTGGCATCGTGACTCTGCAATAATTTTGAGCTGCGCATGACGTCAACGTCGGCCATATCATGCTCTGGCATTGTGTTCTTTAAATGTCTGATACTTTACATCTGCGGCTTTAAAGCTTTTTCCTTTTCTCTGCCACTTGGTTCCACCATTCGCCGGCTTGTCTGGCCATTTCCACGTCTATGCTGGATGCGAAAGTGACACTAGGATTATGCAGGGCAAATTAAGTCAAACAAGAGCCGCATGCATCGTGTTTGTGGTTCTTATTAGTTGCCAGGCTTGTGTTCAGTGTGACCCCGCATTTAATATGCTTGTCATTGTTTATCGATCTGGGTAATCGTCTCTTCCCAGGCCTTTTCTTGTGTTCTGACATGTTTCCAGCGTTAGTTTTCAACATAATTGTATGAACACTGTTCAGCATAATATAGGATATCATATTCACCTGCACAAGTAAATCGATTTTCATCAGAAGCATGACTGCAAAATGAGGCAGAAGAATTTTACCAAATACTGTTTTGGAAAGCCTAGTTCATCAACTCTATTTTAATAGAAACTCTTTAGAAAAACAAAAATAGAAAAAGTCAATGTCATTTTTTATTTTAGTATTTTTCAGTAAACACTGCTTCCCTTGGCAGTGCAGACCTCAGTTAACATTTCGAGCAGTTAAAGTCTTGTCCATTGAGATTTTGCCTGAAATTCAGTAAAACGCCCTTTTCTAAATCACGGTTCACTGAAACATAGTAAAACCGCTACTTAGAATTGCCACTTTTATTTGTATCTTCTACACATTGCATTCCTACTTTTTCTTAAAAAGAAAATGTGGTGGTGCGAAATCTATGCTGGGGGCAGAAAGTACTCGCACAGCCACAATTCCACCACATTGGCCGCTGATGTGGCTGATGTCAGTGCAAGCCATGTACAGGAGGTGGCTTTACTGATTGCGATGTTATGTGTGTCTTGAACCCAAGAAAAAAAGCTGGTGATGCTCATCAACTTTTTTTGTATGTGTACAGAATGATGACTAGAGCCACTTAGTATAACTATGCTTCAGACTAACTACACTTAAGCCATTTATCTTGTTAAAGCTCAGATGGTCACATTTTCTACGAGATGACGGCACCGACAAGTAGTTGAGGATGGAGTGTCGATACTCTAAGCTTAACTTGTTTAGTAACTCAAACTATATTTTTCTCAGATAGATGTGTTCTGGCTTTCAACACTTGCAGGCAGTGTGAGCTCCCAGGAGCACTTGTCGCATCGTCGAGCTGTGGTCCAGGGCAGAACTGGATAATCCAGCATACAAGTGGCTCTAGCCCATGCGAGCAGCATGGAGGGCTCCGAAGACTCCAAGAGGCCCGGCGGGACTCGGTGAGCAGTCCATATGTCGGCCATCTTGTAGCACCCAGCGTTTGGGGCCACATAGCAGCAACAGATTGTTTGAACTTTGCTGGCCTAGAGTTTCATTTTCTCATTTGTTTTGAGACACCGTTTTGCTGCCATTGGCATAACTGATCTGGATTCTTCCATGTTTCCTTGGACCGGTCTTGCTAATAGTCAGAATGTTGGGGACTTTTGCAAGTTGCTTCAGACTTTAGGTAGATCTAAACAAGTTGCCCAGCATTGTTTCTTAGTTCATAATAATTAATAAAATTGCAACTTAATTGAGAAAGCAATGTTGTTAGTGCGAGCGCTTGATTTTCCTTTCATCACTTGCCTTTTCCACCTGATCTACATTCTGAAGCGATACTTGACAATTTAGATGAAATGTATGGTTTCTTAATTTTAATCTTTAATATTTTTTAAGTATAGGGCTATTAATTGTGGTTAAAGTCACAACTAGATTATGGCTGTACAGAGAATGAGCAATACCTTCAACTGTCCTCAGGAGCCACTCTGCAAAAAGTTTGCACTGTGTGCACTATAAAAACTGGTAATGGTGCCCAAAATAAGTAAAGGCAGAAATACTTGCCCCGATCTGATCTACAAATATGCTTTTAAAGATCTCCGCTTCCGCACAAATTAAACTAAAAAGAAAATACAAAACGGTATTGCAGTTAAGTTTAAGGGGAAAGAAACCATAAAAGTTTGCTGTGTCAAGGCTGTAGTTGTGTGGCTGTGCAACATTAAATTAATTGCTAGCAGCTTGTTGCTGCTTGGTAGTTGGGTATGTATTGGGCCTTATGCCTGGTTCAACACTCTTGCAAAGTTATCAGCTGTCACCCTAAGCAGTTAATGACTGTTTTACTTTCTACAAGGACAGGTCATAGATGATGCCACAGCTGATGTGCGGATGTTGTACGCAGTTGATTTAGTTTATTGTTATTCCTTTCAGGGTGTTCAAGAAGAGCTCTCCCAATTCGAAGGTAAGTGCACAAATTTTTGCCGAGGCGAGTCTACAGGTCCACGAGTGTGCCGATTGTCCACATGTTCACTCTGCAGATCACAATGTACTTGGGGAAGCGGGACTTTGTGGACCACATCACCAGTGTTGACCCCATTGGTAAGTGCACTTTGAATGTGTGATCTTGAAACATTGGGTTTCTTAGAATGCAGATTTTTTAAAGAAATTTAGCGCATAAGAGAAGCAATCATCTAATTAATGGTTAATTTGCTGATACTCTTGGGGTCCTCAATGGATAGTAACAGCTAGGCTATCAAAGTAGAAAATGGCTAGGCTGTTTTCCTTGATACTAAATTGTTGCATTTCATTTTCTGTCCTCACAACTTGTACATAGGAACAATTATATTGTTTTTGGTTTTCAAGTGTTGTTTGAAACATAATATTTAGTCTTGAAAACTAAATTCATAATGCAGATCTAGGAAAAGTAACAAAATAAGAACAAACATTGCTTGTTCAAGCAATATGACAGGTTAAAAAAAGTAGCATGTCCAACTTCTGATAATTGCTCTCCTTCACACATATTGCACAAGAGCAAGGTCTTCTGCTTGCATTCTTCAATTGGATTACATTTGTAAGTTGCCGAGTGAATATGCCAGAATGGTGACTAAATTGCTAGCTCTTCAAGTTTAAAAAATGTAGTGACTGTGTTAAAGTTGCATTTGGGTTTAGGTATTGGCCCAACACTCTCGCATCTCTTAAAGTTGTTTTACAAAACTGCTTAGTATTTGAAGTACCAACAGATCTATTGAGGCTATATTATACAATCATCCGCTTACAACTTCTTTGGGTTGGCAATATTAAAGTGCATTGGGAAAACAAGTGCACATAACTTTGAATCTTTTCAAGCAAAATCAGCTCATGTTGTGTTTGAGCAGTATAGGGTTGTGCGAATATTTAAGTTTTCTTATTGTAGTTTTTATTTCCTTCTAAATGCACTGCGATATTCATATTTTTCAAAGTAATCTCGGTGGGTTAGCCCCTTTGAGCACGCTTCTTACCTAGCACCAGTGCACTGCGGAGGAGCAACACCTGCGGAGCTCACTTTCATGAGTGTTGCTTTTCCGGAGCGCACCAGTGCTTGTTAAGAAGTATGCTCAATGGAGCTTACCCGCCATGATTATCACTTCAAAAAGTACCAATATTGCAGTTGCAGGCTTAGGATAAAAGCACACCTTCAAAGCGAGGTGATAAATGTGCATCTCCTTGCGTATTTGTAAAAGCAAATGAAAACTTTGTAAACTTTGTGAATGTTAATATCTACACAACAGCAAAATTTTCAAAATTGAAATTTGGCTATTGTGCAAGAGTGGCAGAGATGTCCTGATAACTTTTGTGTATCATTCACAATTGTCTTTTCTATGTTCCTCAAAATCACGATTTAAGAAATATAATTGAATATGGTAAGAAGATTTATAAATCCCCTCGATTAGGAATAGCTGGGCATCTCTCTAGGTTTAATGTTATATCAAATGTGTCATTTACTTGCAATCTTTATCTAGTCATTGATCTTTCTGAGGCCACAGTTCATAAATATAGTTAGATTAAAACTAACTTAGCTCAGAAATGAAGTAGTGGAAGCTCGGAAACAACCTTCTCGAGTTCAGCTGGGTTTTCATTCAAGCATTGTGCAGTAGTCAAATGCTCGTAGAAACTATGCAATATTGGATTTGAAATTATTCGGCCAAAACCACTATTTGTTTCAAATTCGCTTCAAACTTAAAGTCCGCTTTTTGCGCAACACTACTTTGGGTTTAGGGCTGATAGGGCTTCCCCAACACCCTCACTGCTCTTGAAGCTGGTTTAAAAAAATTGCTTGGTGCTTTCAAGTACCAGCACATCTATTGAGGTTATATTGGTTGATCATCCGCTCAAAACTTGTTTGGGTTGGTAATTTTAAAACGCATTTGAAGTGGATTCGAAGTGCATAATATCAAATCAATATAAATACCTAATCAGCTCATGTTCTGTTTCACCGTTACTATGGCCACAGGGTGTACGTAAATATAAATCAATATTGAATATGTTAACACATTGCAATGTACTGGCCTCTTATCAAACCTTTTGTTTGTCCCTACTTAGTAAGTGTTCATAAACTCCACACCATTCAATCATTTTCAATATCGTGAGTCAATAGTTGTTCAAAAGTACTCATTTACTTCTAAAACGCTCACATAGTGTTGATCGATAGCTAGACACGCACTGCTTTGTGTCACAGCTTGCTCGGTTTATTGTTGATGTGATTTTGTTAAAATGAGAAACTGACCTCCACACAGACACATGATCGAACAACAATAATTACTGTCGTATGCCTGAAGTGGCTGCTGTCCTGCTTCCTATGTGAAATAGAATGTTGTTAGCACGGATCCTGGTAGTTTGCGTAATTGCTCTATTCCTGTCTGGCGTCTCTAAATTGTGAGCAGTCCTAATTGCTCTGGTGTGAAGTGGAAACAAGGAGCCCGATCTGTGACATCCAGCGGGACAGTGTTTGTCAGAGTATAAAATAATATAAGACAAACATTGCACAGCATCTGGCACACTAACACAAAAACACAGAGATCTAGAAAGAAACCCAAAACCGTACGAATCGGCGACCCGGGATGTTTTGTTGCGAGCCGCACACTTGCGTTGCACGAACTGGCACGAGCACTGCTGAGGGAAAAGTGTCACCCTCTTTTGACACAAGGCACACATTTATTTATATCTTGGGTATGCAACACTGTGATTATAGAAAATCGTCTATTTAAATTTAGGGTGGGGTTGCGACCTGCGCACTTGAGCACGCTCACATGCAAATTTGTGAACAAGCCTTCACTACAACCCTCGTGACTGTAGTAAATTTTACATATAATGCATACATCTGTATGCAAGCTCGGTGCCAGTTTCAGTTTGCTCGACCAAGTATGCCATCTGCATGGTGCTAGTACTTACGTTATGCTGACGAAAGCCTAGCACACGAGACAGAGACCATACAGTGTTACTTGCTCTGATGACCACTGGATGCACTGCTGTGCAGACGGTGTGGTGCTGATCGATCCCGACTATGTGAAAGACCGGAAGGTGTTTGGACATGTGCTGGCGGCCTTTCGGTACGGTCGTGAGGACCTGGATGTGCTGGGCTTGACCTTTCGCAAGGATCTGTACCTGGCTTCAGAGCAGATCTATCCGAGACTTACCACTGGAGAAAACAGTAACCGTCCCCTTACACGACTCCAGGTAAGTTCTGAGAGTTCCTTTTTTTTTTTTTTTTTGTCCTTTTTTTATTATTTGTTTGTTCGGAACCTGGGCTGGGGCGGGACTACGTTCCCCGCGACCCGCCTGGTGCCCACACAGGTTCCCAGGTTGCAGTGTTACAGGGCCATTGGAAGATTCCACCGACTTTGGTGGAATGCCAGAACCTAGAGCAACTGGAAAAAGTGTATATAAGGCTCGGCAAGTTGCATTTTCGAGTGGTCGCTATTGCCAATTGCACCCACCCTGCACTAAGTACCAAAATGGCGGGCAGGGCCTATAGGGTAACCGGGAACGTAGTGCCAATACTCCAGGCGTAGCCTGTTTGGTGGCTTTGCCTGAACTGTCTGGTAAACCCTTTTCTTTAAAGGGGCACTGACACATCAAAATCATATTTTTTTTTATTATCCGAAACGATTGAAAATGATGCCGGGACATTACCCTCAAAATTTGAAATTTGGGAATTCAGTATTCGTGAAGTAAAAAAACAATTTCCAAATGCCGAATTCGAAGTTCCCGCGCGATCGGCGCCGGTGCCTTGACGTCAAAAATTGCGGATTCCTGAGAGTCCACTTTCTTTCACCACTCCCTGCTGTTGCCATGGCGACCCGAAGCGAGGAGGAAAGGAGTGAGCGGCGGCGTTGCGGCGGACCGGTTTTGAGCGGTGTCGCCTGTTTTCCGTTGGAGGATACAAATCCAGGAGACGGCACCACAACGAACTCCCGATTTTTGGTATTTCAAAAAGAAGGGCCGCAGTGCGTTCGCAATTGCAATAAAAAACATGTTTTAGGATTGCCGTAATTAAATGTTATAGAGATGTCGCCTACAAAGCTTCTAAATTTCATGATTCTTGACGTCACCGATCAAAAGAGGCGAGAGGCGGGAAAATCAAACGCCAAAAATAAAAAGGCGCGCGCGCGCGCAGGAAAATTATTTTGCGATGCGTTTTTTTTTGCGTGTCTATGACTGCAACTTGCATCGTTTTAGACAATAAAAATAAATACGACCTTTGGGGTGTCAGTGCTTCTTTAAAGTAGGTATGTTAAATCCAATTTTTTTCCAAGCTATTCTGCTCCATTTTTTTTTTAAATTTCTCTTCAGTGTATTATATACAAGACCTTTTTTATTTCTTGGTGCAAATTATTGTTTTAATCTTTTTTATGTTACTGCACCCTCTTTTTGCACAACAGCGAGTGCAGGCGCACACTGTCAGTGCTTGGGAGTGGGATGGGGTCACGCTATTGTTTTTAAACTCTAGTTTGCTGTGTGCCCTTTAAGCATTGTTCTACTATGACATTACGTAGAAGTGAAGCGTGCCGACGAGTTATCCTTATATATGGCTTTCTTGGACTGCCGAGATTTCTATTGTGTTCTAGGCATAGTCAAGGTTTTGTCTTGTGAACCTTATTAGCTATAGAACTCTTAAATATAGAGCAAGCATCTGCAAGACTGAGAGACAGCGTGCATGTATTTTGTGGTGCTCGAAGGAAGCCTGAAATTAATCACCAGCGAAGGTTGTCTCTTGCCACTTTTTTTTTATTTGCTCTAGTTCAAATGCTACTATCCAGATATTTTGGTCTTTTGGCTCTCTTCTAGGGTAATGGGAAATTTTCGTCTGTTGTTCACCGGTCACAAACTTGGTTTGTTCATCTTGTGTAACTAATGTTGACGCTGGTAGCAACCATAAAGGAGACAGTAGTAATGTCTGGAGAAGGGGAACAAGGGGTACAAAGGAAAAAACAAATCTCCAAACACAACTAGGTGACTGGTACGCGACCAAAAAAATTTGCCTAGTCCTGGTATCGAACCTCTTCTTCAGGGATTATTATTGTCATTCTTCTCCAGCTCGCTTGCACCTTTCCATTAATTGCACTATAATCATAACCTTAAAATGCAGGCCTGTCACCCTTGTTGGTGTTAGACTGATAAGAGCTGATAAAAGCCGTTTGCTCTACTGACGTTTAACTCCTGGTTAGCTCAGTTGGTAGAGCGCTCCACTTGAAGTGGAGAAATCCCTGGTTTGATACCATGACCAGGTGGATTTTTTCGGTCGTGCACCAGTCACCTAGCTGTGTTTGGAGACTTGTGTTTGTCCTTTGTTCCCCTTCTCCAGGGATTATTATTGTCATTCTTGTCCAGCTTGCTTGCACCTTTGCGTTAATTACATTATCAACATAAAGGATAGTTATGATATCTTAAAGATATGAACCTTCTAATAAAATTTCATTACATGAATATTTATTGAATGTTTCCCGTAATTATACAACAGTACAATGGGTACTAGTGTGAGGAATGGGAACACGGACTATGTATTTGTATTTTTCTTTTTGCAATTCCTTTTACATTTGCTTTATTTTGGTGTAGAGTGCTACAGTAAGAAGCTCCCAAAAGCAGAATCAAGGGACAGTTACCTTTTTACATTCAACTGGTTTGTTTCATGCAGCTTGCCATACCAAAAAAACATGTAATTTGAAATTGTGGTAAATAAGGGGTTTTAACGAAATTGCTACCTGCGTGGCTTCTCATATCTTCCGTGATGTCAACATGCCCGCTCCTCGAGCACATCCTTGTTTTGATGCCAAGTCCAGACCGGCCTTGGGGTATGGCAAGGGCAGCTGGGGTCAGCAGGTGACCAGGAAAAATGTGGGCAGTCTTCCAAGCAGACATGTTGCCACATCTGCTCTGTTGGCTGACTTGAGTACATCTCGTTGGATTTGTACTACTATTTCTTTTGGCAGTTTTGCCCGCCTGTTAAGGTGTGAGGCTAAACTAAAATGATACCTATGAATGGAAATAAAATCTACTGCTTTAGATACTATACCTCTTTTAAGAAAATTACCTCTTTTTGAATAAATGAAATTGAAAAATGTGCATTGCTGAGGTTTACATACTGTTGAAGGTTTACAAAGTTTAAGCAAAGTTTAGGATATTTAAAAAAAAATTTTTCAGCTCAGTTATTATGTGTTTGTCGATTCGTCTCGAAACATGAACCAGCTTGGTAATATTCATTTTCCAACCTATGTTTGTGTGTTGCACAAACGGGCCCCCCTGCATACTATAGGTTTGTTTGGAAATGCTGGTTCCCATTGTAATATTGACTTATCTAGTAAAGCTCACCAGCTTCAAAGCATTCATGTTGTTAGAATTGTTAGTGCACTTAGCGTAGTGTGTCTCACATTGCTGTGTTGTGCCGTAAACCCCCAAATCGTTACCATCATGGCGCTGTTGGTGTGCACAACAGTTTTTTCATGCATAAGGATGTTGGTAACCTGATGTCTGTTCTCTTGGTTTTACTTGCCATTGTTGACATGCTTAGCAATGTGGGTTGGCCATTACGCCCATGACTAAATACTGTATGAGAGGGGAAAGGAGGTCCCAGCAAAATGGAAGATATCAGGGGGGGCCCGGGCCCCATGGGCCACCCCCCCTGGCTACGTGCCTGTTGCTCATCATTGGCAGTGATCATCATTGTTTAATGTTGACCTACAGAAGTGAAATGCTTACAAGTGCTGGCCCCTCATTTGTGCTGATTGAACGCATGTGCACTGGAGCGAGCTGCTTCTAGCACTCGGCATCATGAGTCACACTATCTGTCACCGGTGCGTCTCCATCCAGGAACGCCTCCTCCGCAAGCTGGGCCCCAACGCGCACCCCTTCTACTTTGAGTTGCCGCCACACTGTCCTGCCTCGGTAACCCTTCAGCCTGCTCCTGGGGACACGGGCAAGCCCTGCGGTGTCGACTACGAGCTCAAGGGCTACGTTGCAGACAGCGTCGAGGAGAAGGCGCACAAGAGGCAGGCACCTTTGTGAAGCGTGTTGCATGTGTGTGTTGAGTCATTAGTCAGTCCCACAGAACGCCTGGTGTCTCCGTTGTAGACGAGAAATTTAGCTAGTGCAGTACTAATGCAGGCCTGAGGTCTTTAAAGTGCGTCACCCAGTAGTGGTACACAATTGCACCGTGGACGTAGGAAGCTTCTGGACGTAACACGGCACCACCGGAGGTGAAACCGGAGTGGAGAGACACCCCCCCCCAACAATGACCAAAACTAAAAGGCACTATTGGACAGAAAGGGCAGCGGATTTGGTGCCAACAGCTATTTTGGTCAGCCTTGGGGATGTTCCCATCAAATGCTACCTCTACTTTCGGCTTTGCTTGGGATATTTTCATTTGGCTGGCTTGAGTCGGTATATTGCCTCCTCCTCTTCCCACCTCAATGGCTAAAATGCTCGTCTCCTGATCCCCCCTTAAGCTTATAAAAGAGGATCTTTATCTCTGGCTAAGAATGCCTGTTGCTATCCTAGATAGAAATATGATTAATAATGATTTATTCACACAGGAAAAAGTGTTTCGGAAATAGTGTTGTGAAAATAAAGGTAGACAAGATAATGCAGTTGGCAGGTGAGGTATAGATTTTTTATTTTTCGACTATTTTGTTTTGTGTTGTCTGTCATTTTAACTTTCTGCTGGTTTCTAGTTATTTTGAAGGTATGCAACTTCGCGATCATCGCGAGGTTGCATACCTTCGCGACTAAGAATCGCACAAAGTTCTAAAGTTAAGAAGTGCCGAAGCCTCGGATAATTGGATAAGGCCCTCGAGGGCCGAGAAGCCAGCCAAGGGCCGATTGCTGTCGAGACGCACGTTTCGACGAAGGAAGGGGTAACAGCCGGACGGTTTTTGCAATCCCCAGCGAGTCAATGGCCATTGCTCAACCGCCGAAGTGACTCAACCGCGTTTTTGCTCCTACAGAAACTCGGTGCGCCTGGCCATCCGCAAGATCATGTATGCTCCCAGTCGCCAGGGGGAGCAACCCAGCGTGGAGGTGAGCAAGGAGTTTGTCATGTCTCCCAACAAGCTCCACCTGGAGGCCTCCCTGGACAAGGAGCTGTACCACCACGGCGAGGACATTGCCGTCAACGTCCACATTGCCAACAACTCCAATCGGACCGTCAAAAAGGTCAAGGTCTCGGGTGAGCCGCCGGGAAGCCCCTCCCCCCGCCTCTCTCGGATCGGCTGGCCGTCCTCGGTCCGGCCCTCTGTTCCTGCCGAAAACGGCGGCGTACCGGGGTGCCAGTGAAGGCCCATTCACACACATGCCACAGTCGGCGCTGGAAATGGCTCTGATCTTGCTGATGCAGTGCCAACTTTACGCTAGGATAAGGGTAGTGCTGGTACATTGCTGGTACGGTACTGATTATTAGTGATAGAGTGCTGATAAATAGTTCTCACCTTGCTGGTGCAGCGCCAATTTTGCACTATATTAGTAGTGCAGTATTGATGAAGTGTTGATGCAACACTGGTGCAGCACTGGTACAGTGCCGTGACAGTGCTAAAAGTTAGGTTCATGTATTCACTGCTTCAGCACTGTTTCTATTGTTGATTTGTGGCTGCAATGTTTGCGTGAATTGGTCTTTAGCGAGTGCTGATAAATAGGGCTTTGTGTTGTTTGGGGTTTATTTGTCTTCAAATTGTGAAGTACTTTTTTATTTTTTTTGGGGCGGGGGTAATTTTTTAATGAGTTCAGTGTTTTTTGGTGTTTGACAATACTATCAAGATTTACGAGGGTTTACGCCTTAGAAAACTGTACATGGCTAAGGGGATTCCCCTATTCCCGGTGAACATGCACATGTGACCAAAATACTCGAACAACATCTGAGCACTGATAAGACGAGGAAACTAGACAATGAGCCTTGCCCCCCCCCCCCCCCCACACACACACCCACACACACAAACAAAAAGATTCTTAAAGAGTTTAGTGGGGCTGTGTTCTGGATTAGCACGGAATAAAGCCGTAGGTAAAGATACCTTTTGGTGAAGCTTGTGTTTCTCGTGTTCAAGGACAGCTCCAATTCAGGGTTTCTCAGTTTTTTCCCTAACTTTCATAAACTTGGCTCAGGGATTACTTTTCGGGGTTTATCGGTATGCATTGAGAACACGGAATCCTACTCATAAGCACTGAGAATTGTGCAGCTTGCTGACTTTGATCTCACTTGTATCCCCAACAGTGCGGCAGTTTGCCGATATCTGCCTGTTCTCCACGGCTCAATACAAGTGCACCGTTGCCGAGATAGACTCCGAGTAAGTGGCACTTCTATGGTTTTTTTAGCGTGAGCTACACAGGCCAAGGTTGAGCAGTTTCGCGTGGCTCGCATAATGAACCGTGCTCCATGCTGCGCGTGCGTGAGGAGCAGTGACGTCACACTGCGCACCGGAGCCGCTGCCGTGCCCGCCTCGCCGGTCTGCGCATTCCAGAGGAGTGACGTCATAACCGCGGCAGACGCACTGGTGCCGCCGCGTGCCCAGCTGTGCGCCTCTGTTGCGCAGTAGCCAAGTCTGACGCTGCACCGGAGCCGCTTGATAGCGCATCTCATTTTGTGCGCATAAGCTCACGCTACGTATGTCCTGGCATAGCCGAGCTAAGCCACCGCAATTTTTTTTTGGTGTCAATCCTAGTGGCGCAAGTGAACAGGTACAGATCTAGTCACATATTTATTCCGGACCAACGAATGTTTCTGAATTACTGCTTTCGATGGTGTCAACTGCTGACTTGCAAGAAATCATTGCTAACATTTCGTTTCTTGCGGTTGTGTGAAGACTATTTGAACTAAAGAAGCTGGATTTTTTGTCTGTTTACTTATTAATTCATACATACAGTCAGATCCTGTTGAAATTATAGTGGGATGGTACTACATAAAATAGATGTTATGTTTGTGTAGGGAAGATAAATTAAAATACACTACTTATTGAAGTTAGTGAAGGCTTTATGAAGTAGCAGATGTGATGCAGACAATGTTGTATTGCAAATGCTTCTATTTTGAGATGGCATGAGGAAAAAATGACCATGGTAGCATGCCTTAAATGTGAGTGTGGCTTTCCATTTTGAATTGATTTTGCTTTAGCTTAATTTTTGTTTGGAAAAAGGCTGCATTTAGAGTTGGCATCGCCGATTTTACTCGAGTCTATAGCGTTTGAAATAGTCATATGTAAAGGACTCCATGGTACATATTACGTTATGGGGAGATTGTTTATTTTTGATTCAATGCTTCTGCTATCAACGACAAGAAATTCCGGGTCCTTCCTGTTGCCAAACCTGCTGGCTTGCCAATGGTGTGTAAACGAGGTTCACACTGTAATCATAATTCATATTCTTTTCATAATTCAATGCTTTTACAATCTCGCACTGCACCATGTACACAGCTGCATTACGTTTGTTGAGATACGGTATGCCAAGACATTTGCATGTGCATTTGGTCTTGTGTTAAGCAGCTACAAGAGGCTTTCCTGTCGCAGGTGCAGTAGTATTTGCATTTTGGAACTTCTGGCAGTCTACAAACACTTGAGCGGCCCTACCCTTAGTCGGAACTTGTGGGTTTGACGACGGCCATGCCCTTTGGTGCAGGGAGGGCTGCCCCGTGAGCCCGGGCTTCACCCTGTCCAAGGTGCACTACTTGCGCCCTCTGCTGGCCAACAACAAGGACAAGCGGGGGCTGGCCCTGGATGGCCAGCTCAAGCACGAGGACACCAACCTCGCTTCGTCCACCATGTGAGTAGGAAGGGCACGTGCTGGTTGGGGTACTTCGCCAACGAGTCTTCAGATGAACCGTATCCGGAGGTCCTCTTCAAATTATTGCGCAGTTCTTTCCCTAACATTGTACATTTGGCAGTCAGGACTGGACCCATGCTCTTGGCTAACCAAAAATTTGGGTAAAGCGACTTTTTAGAGAGTTGACTTTGTTGTTCTTTGGCACACATTGTGTAGGATTGTACAAACGTTAAAATTTTTTAATGTCTGTACTATTTTGTATTTGCTTCGAGATGAACTGCAATTATTTGTATTTTTCGAAGTGCCGATCCCAGTGGGTAAGCCCCTTTGAGCATGCTTCTTATCAAGGATCGGTGCACTGCGGAAAAACCGCACCCGCGGAGCTCGCTTTTGCGGGATTAGATCCTGACGAGTGGGGTGATATTTATAAGGGGAGAGCCTTGCTTGAAGTTTTGTAATTCATTAAAGCAGTCAGTTGTTATAAGGAGATAGGGAGCTGTGGTAAGCGGGTCTTGTTGTAGCTGCACTCTGTCCTAGCCACCATTTTGCTTTTAACTAAATTGTCTTTGCTCATTGTCAAAATTCGTCCGGGATGATGAGAAGAGAGATCAGAAGACTGAGACACAGATATAAGCATATATTTCAAACAAACACAAATAAACGAGGAGAGGAAAGAAAGGAAAAAGAATCATCGAAGCACAAAAGATATAAGAATTGGTCACACAAAGTGCGTTTGTCCTTTGCATAGTCACCAGCGGGTCTTGATTTGCGTTGCTGGTTTCCTTGACTGTGATGGGCCTTGCCACGGTTGACGGAGACGGGTATGTTCGAGCCCGGCTCGAGAAGCTGAGATGTAGCCTGGTATGACCTTGCCAGGTTCCTTGACACTGGGGCGGAGCCGGGTATGTATTTGAGGCCAGGTGCGTTGACACTGGAGCGGAGCCAGTGTGCCCGAGCCCAGGTGTATTCACGCCAGAGTGGAGCCAGTGTGTGCACTACTGAAATCGCCCGTTGCTCGGCTTAGAATTTTTTCGCACCTGCGATCCCAATCTTTTTACGCTTCTCCTTTCCTACTTCTTCCGCCAGTCGTCACTTGAAGAATGCGACACTCGCATACACTTTAATTGTAGCTTGATTTTGATGCATTCATTGTACAAACTGGTGGGGAATATGTTTTCTGGGTGCTGACACCGGTGCCTGGAAACAGGTGAGCCTGATGTCCCCCCCTTTGCACTCACTCATGCAGCATCACAGATCCGTCGCAGAAGGAGAATCTAGGCATCATTGTGCAGTACAAGGTCAAGGTGAAGCTGTGCTTGGGGCCGCTCGGAGGGTGAGTGCCATCCACTGAGCGAGAGGTGCAACAAAGCCCGATTGCTTTGGGTTGTTTCACTTTCCCAAACTTATCAAATAGTTCATGCAGACCAAAAGGTGTGGACTGGGCGACTCGTTATGCACCCATCCCTCTTGCAGAGTTCAAACAAAACGCAAAGGTGGTTGAAGCTGGGAAGGAGGTCCCAAAGAGGAGCCTCTTTAAAGCCTCCAAGTGGCAGCTGGTGATGTTTTGCATGAGGACTTGGCTTCTTGTGGTCCCCAAAGAAGTCAACTCTCTTAGCAACACGTTGACTGCAACTCCAAGGCCTCTCGGAAAACTTTGTTTGTCCACACTCGCGTGTTGACACTTCTACGACCAGTGCCCATCACAAATATGAGCAATGCTAAGGGATTCCTTGAACGCCTCAAAACATTGACTGAGTATCTTAACCTCCTTGGGTCCTCAAAGAAATTTAGGTTTCTGGTAAAATACTGTGTTGAATGCCTTTTGTAGGTAGTCTGTGCAACATTTAAAGAGTTTTCTGAATTCATCCAGCCCTTCTGCCTATCTAGTCATGTACTGCCCAATTCTTGTAATGTTATTGCCATCATGTGCTTTTACACTCCCATCAAAGTATTATACTTTATTCACCCCTAAGCCAAGAATGTGATGGAAGCTCAGAGACGCTCCCACCATACTCTCAGCTCCAATCAACCTTGTCTCTTTCATCACCCAAGCTCGCTCTCTGCATGTGCGAAAGAGCGATAGAGTGATCACGCGACAAAAGATGGGCGTGCGACCGATTCACTGAGCAACGTAGCTTCCACCGCAACGTCAACTTGGGGCTGAACGGAGTACCGTATTTACAGTTGAACCTTGATTTAACGAAACCCAATTTTACGAATTTTTTTATGTAACGAACAAATTCGGATTCCCCGCGCAGCCTATGCGCGATGTCTCCCTTCCTCGATTTTACAAAATTCCCGATTTAACGAAATAATTAGCGGGTCCCAGTGACTTTGTTAAATCGAGGTTCAACTGTACTCGCATAATGAATGCACTTCTAATTTTCGGCTCCGCGAGTCTTGAATTGCGTCCAATTTAGCTAGCCACCAAGCCAATTTTTTTTTGCTGCCAAACGCTCTGGCCAAGCTAAGCCAAGCCGCCCTTCTAATGGCTGCAAGTGCATAGTTGTGGTAGTTACGGAAGTGATCAACCATGAAGGTGAGCGGCGCGCACACTTGACAAAGCTTGGGTCGAGGAATCGGCCAGCTCCGGACATTCTTTGCCTATCGGATTCATTGATGTCAACAAACACGCCGTCGTCTGTGGTCCGCTTTCAGACAGTGAAAGTGGTTAGGCCTAATTTCACATACTCCAGGTATATGTGCTTATTAATCCGTTGCAGAACGGCGCAGCGAGGTGCACGCTGCGTCGTAGGTTGAGTGTGTCTGGTAGCCCCTGGTAACAGCAGTCTTCGTGAACGAAACTTGATATGTGCGAGTGGGCCTCGGCGGTTGAACTTCGTACAAGTTCTTATACGCACAGTCACGGTATATATCCGAGTGCGCTGCCAGATGCTAGCAATATGTATCGCCTAAGAACGGTCGCATTGCTTTCCGTGCTGAGTGAGCTTCGTAGGGTGCTTTTCCATCAACAAAGGGCACGCTGAAAGTGCCCTAAAAAGGTTCGCAATTTATAAAGCATGGTTACTGTGGCGTGCCCCCAACCAGCTGTAAGTGTGCCTCCATCAGTGGAGACGTGCCAGTACCTTGCCGTGTCATATAAGCATCTAATATGACATTTACACGAAGTGTGTAAGTGCAAAAATTTCACCCCGTGTAATAACTGTCTTCCCCCCCCAAATCTGGGTAAATGTTTGAGGAAAAAAAGTATGTTCATTATCCGAATAAATACGGTACGTAGGGTACTGTGGTTCAGGCTGTGCGTCGCTAGGGCTTTCCTCTGCTTTGGTTTCAACACCCCGCCTCAAGCTTCTGCTCTCTCTTCGCAACTCCTTCCCCAATGGACCCACGTCTGACTTCCCCCCATGGCCCAGGGACCTCGTGGCGGAGCTGCCCTTCATCCTGATGCATCCCAAGCCCGAGGAGCAGAGCCCTACCCTTGCTCGGGCGCTAGTTCCCAGGGCCGGGGGACAGGAGGGCGACGAGGCGGGAGACTCTGCGGACTCGGGGGCCCTGGACACCAATCTGATCCAGCTGGACACGTGAGTGTCGCCACCCTCTCGTACCGCAAGCCCCCTCCCGCTTTTTACGGCGATGGCTTTGTATGGAAGCCCCTCACGTACCTTGCTTGCTTATGTTGGCGTCGGTCGCACCATAGCACTCGCACACGCACATTCGCAAGGCCATGGAAGGGAGTGTCGGCATTGTGGCGCATCTCTTGATTTGACATCATCGTGCGCATGCAACCGATGGTGTTGCTGACACAAAGTTGGGGGGGGGGGAGCGGAGTGTTAATACTCAACAACAACAGAGCAACAGAGGTGGCAATGTCACCGTCGGACCAGTTCTGTGACGTCGCTGCGTCGTTGTCTACATCTCGGAAAACGTCAAACTGTACACTTTCTGCAGCGCCCTCCCGCTCCAAGACCTCCGCGAGGAGGCTCTCACAAGCCTCGTCTTCAAGAGTGCAGCCTTCATTGGTGTCACTCGTCTCACCGGTGTTGATCGCGCTCAAGTCGAACTTCGCACGTCTGAAGCAGTTGCGCACCGTCGGCGGCTCAACTTGCTGCCGCGAGTATACCAGCAAGTGAATTCCACTCAGTAAGTCGATGGCATAAGTCTTATTGTTCTCCATTGAAAGTAGCATCCTGCACAACAGGTTCTTTCTGTAAGTCTGCTTCACGGCACGGATTATTTCCTGGTCCAGTGGCTGTGCGAGCGCAGTTGTGTTGGGGGCCAATAAAACGAGCTTGATTGCAGAGGGGTTCTCCACTTGGACATGAGCTGACGCGTTGTCGAGTTCCACAACGACGCTTCTTTTCGCAGAGAAACTGCTATCAAACAGACTCACATGCTCTTCAAAAATCTTCGCCGTCATCCAGGCTTTTGTATTGCTGCGGTAGAGGACGCCCAATGGCAGTCGGTTACCCTTAAAACATCTTGGCTTCTCAGACTTCCCACTCACCAGGAGTTGGGGCTTTTCACTTCCAGTCATGTTGACAATAAATGCAACTGAAATTCGGTCCTTAGCGTGCTTGCCGCCCGTGCAAACTTGCCCCTTAAAAACAAGGGTGCTGTTTGGCAACAGCTAGAAAAATAGCGCAGACTCATCCAGATTAAAGATGTCTTCGGGGGCAGTCCGTCAAAATTTGCTGCAGCTGCCCATTCTGCCGCTCTTCTGCGCCCTCAGTGTCTGCTGCTGCACCTTCTCCAGAAATGACTCTTCTGGCGATGTTGTAGCGTGCCCTGAACCTCGGCAACCAGCCATTGCTGCAAACAAAGTCGTCATGGTGCAGCTGCGTAGCGAAGATTCGTGCTTTCGCGAGGAGAAGGAGACCCCTGACCGGCAGGTTTTTGGTTCTTGCTTTCTTGAGCCAGAGCACCAATGCCTCCTCGACGTCGGGAAAAGTCTATCCTCGCACGCAATACCTTTTCAGATTGCTCGCCGCCACTCATCAGCTTCTTTCGTGCGTTCCGTACACTGCAAACGGTTGTTAATGGTAGTCCCCTGCATGTGCCCGGCGCAGACTTCTTAGTTCCACGCTCAATGGACTTGACAATATCCAGCTTCTCCTTGATGCAGGGAACGTAAAGTTTTTGGCGTCTCGACATCGTCCCGCCTTTGCGCACACAATGCACTCTCTGCACACTTGGATATCAAACGGCTGAAGGATCCCAGAATACAAATGTGCCCAAATCCTAGTGCCTGTAGCCTGAGCAGCAAGAGAAATCCCGTTTAGAGGACCGCAACTATGTGCTACCATTCGCAAGTTCGGAACCTGCTGCGCAGCCCACCATGCCTGCGACCACGACGTCAACAACATTGTTCACCGCTCCTCTGCTTCTCTGCTACCAGCTGGGCCCGTAGTAAACTGCGTAAACTGGTCCCCCGCCCCCCCCCCCCTCCCGCCAGCAACGTTGCTGATGTCCGTTGGTTCACCTGCTCCGCGGAGGGCAAGTTGCACGGTGCCGCGTTGCCGTGGTTTTGAACTTGCACCCTCGCTGCCCTCACCCTCACGCTGGGTCGGCTTCGCGTGTTCGCTCCCTCTTAGCGGCTAGTGTCCGCTATGGCCATTGCTGCTATTGCGTGGCTTTAGCACTGCCGCATGCCGCAAGCGTGGCGACAACTTCGAACCTAGTACGTACTGGGAAGTGAAAACGGTGCGTGTTGACCGGTTTGTACACGATAAGCGACTACGCATTAAGCGGGCATTGAATGCATTAGGTTTAACGGGAGACATGTTGGGGATCTGACTAAGCTACTTTTAAAGCAGGACTACGGCTTATGCGGGTACGTGGTACGGAGATTTTACTGTAGTTTCCAAGCAAAGCTAGCCCCTAAATGAAGGCAGTCTCTAAGTGAAGGCAGTCTCTAAGTGAAGGCAGTCTCTAAGTGAAGGCAGTCTCTAAGTGAAGGCAGTCTCTAAGTGAAGGCAGTCTCTAAGTGAAGGCAGTCTCTAAGTGTAGGCAGTCTCTAAGTGTAGGCAGTCTCTAAGTGTAGGCAGTCTCTAAGTGTAGGCAGTCTCTAGGTGAAGGCAGTCTCTAGGTGAAGGCAGTCTCTAGGTGAAGGCAGTCTCTAGGTGAAGGCAGTCTCTACGTGAAGGCAGTCTCTACGTGAAAGCAGTCTCTACGTGAAGGCAGTCTCTACGTGAAGGCAGTCTCTACGTGAAGGCAGTCTCTAGGTGAAGGCAGTCTCTAGGTGAAGCAGTCTCTAGGTGAAGCAGTCTCTAGGTGAAGCAGTCTCTAGGTGAAGCAGTCTCTAGGTGAAGGCAGTCTCTAGGTGAAGGCAGTCTCTAGGTGAAGGCAGTCTCTAGGTGAAGGCAGTCTCTAGGTGAAGGCAGTCTCTAGGTGAAGGCAGTCTCTAGGTGAAGGCAGTCTCTAAGTGAAGGCAGTCTCTAAGTGAAGGCAGTCTCTAAGTGAAGGCAGTCTCTAAGTGAAGGCAGTCTCTAAGTGAAGGCAGTCTCTATGTGAAGGCAGTCTCTATGTGAAGGCAGTCTCTATGTAAAGGCAGTCTCTATGTGAAGGCAGTCTTTATGTGAAGGCAGTCTTTATGTGAAGGCAGTCTCTGTGAAGGCAATCTATGTGAAAGCAGTCTCCATAGTCGGTTACAAGAAGGTAGAAGCTCCTCCCACAAGCGTGATGCGCCCGTTTTAAATCTCTCCGCAGTCGAAAGAAGAGTTCGCTGGAAACGCTCCTTGTTCCGATTCAATGGATTCCACCCTGCAATCATATTTAAGCGTCTACCTTTTTTGCGGTTTCCACGTCTCTTGGGGTTCGGGCAAGCCAGCGGGCACGGAGAGAGTAACTAAATATCAGTGCGTCATATTTTAACCGGACGACGCGGAAACCTCCTCCACCGACGAGGGCGACCCGCGGTACCGAAAGCGCGCAAAATGCGACGTATTTGGTCCTGGGCTTGCCACTGGTCAAAGCCGCTAAGAGCTTTTTTTTAGTAGAGATACAAAATATAAGTGTCGCGAACCGTTTCAATTATGTATGAGAGTAGTTTTTGTTCACTATTTTAGATCAGAAAAGAAACAAATGCAGTTTAGAAAGTACGGAAACGAGAAATGACCCGTCGACATACCCGCCACCAAGCGGCGGAAAAAAACGGCGCATACTAGAAAAGGCCAGTGGGATGAGGCTACGACAAGCAAGGACCGTAGAAAGGTCCCGGATGTACGCGGCGGCGCTGTGGTCGTATACCGGCTCAAGAATCCGACCGGTTCCGAGCGTTCCGAATGTCTTCGGCACGGGCCCTGCTGGCGATTTGGCCATTTGGCGGTGCGTCAGCGCGAAATAGCTCCTGTTCTGAACTGATCTTTACCCCGTGTTTGCTGTTGTTTGTGGCCAATCAAGTGTTATGCCGAATTAGTGTTTAGTCGCGCAGCAAATGCAATGCGAGCTGCCCTGGCCGCCCGCTTCATACAGCCTATCCAACACGTACTTTAGTGGCGCCCTCTCGAGCCGTCGACATAAAGTGCGGCAGCCGTGTGCGCTCGATGAGCTCACTACTCCTTCTCTAGTTCAAGGCCACTCAAGCCAGGACCTACGACGTCATGAAGGAGGTTATTTTTTGCTTGTTTTTGTAATTCTAATTTGCCTATAACTTTTAAAATAAAGTGAAATTTGAGAAAAGAAAAGTTGAATTAAGTTACTACGTTCAGTACGCCCAGGTTCAGTGCAAATTAAAAACCAGTCAAAAAGTCATTGCAGGGCCCCTTTAAAAAAGCAACCTTTGTATTCATTGGAGATGGACCGAGCCCCTGAAAGCAGCCTTTGTATCCATCAGAGGGGGAAGCTAATCCCTGAAAGTCATTTGTTTCTGTCGGAGGGGGAAAACTCTAATCTCCCTCTCGTGGCTGCCACAATGCCAAGTCAAAGTCGAAAGTTAAAGCAAATATGGTTCAGAAAGGCAAGACCCTCCTCGCGCGTTGGCCGCACGTCACGGAAACGATGGGATGCTATTGGATGCGGAGGTGGTGGAGGGATGCGATTCCCTTTGAGGGGCATTTGCTGCTACCTTCTTAACCTGTAACCGACTATAGTGAAGGCAATCTCTAGTGAAGGCAATCTCTAGTGAAGGCAGTCTCTATGTCAAGGCAGTCTCTATCTGAAGGCAGCCTCTATCTGAAGGCAGCCTCTATCTGAAGGCAGTCTCTATGTGCAGGCAGTCTCTATGTGCAGGCAGTCTCTATGTGCAGGCAGTCTCTATGTGAAGGCAGTCTCCAAGTGAAGGCAGTCTCCAAGTGAAGGCAGTCTCCAAGTGAAGGCAGTCTCCAAGTGAAGGCAGTCTCCAAGTGAAGGCAGTCTCCAAGTGAAGGCAGTCTCCAAGTGAAGGCAGTCTCCAAGTGAAGGCAGTCTCCAAGTGAAGGCAGTCTCCAAGTGAAGGCAGTCTCCATGTGAAGGCAGTCTCCATGTGAAGGCAGTCTCCATGTGAAGGCAGTCTCTATGTGAAGACAGTCTCCAAGTGAAGGCACTCAGTCTCTATGTGAAGGCAGTCTCCGAGTGAAGGCAGTCTCCGAGTGAAGGCAGTCTCTAAGTGAAGGCAGTCACTAATGGTATATTTGGCTGGTCAATTTCTAGCCTCTTGGAGCGCTCTGAAAAGCCGATGCCCATTCGACTGGCCAAAGTTGGGCGCTCTAAGTGTATTTGCTTGATTCTTTTAGAGCGCTCTCAGATTTTCAGATTGCACCGTCCTCCGACTCGTAGCACTGTGAGGCGCTCCGACTTCGAAGTGGGAGCAGTGGGAGTGCGTGCCAGAGGACCGGTTACGTGACTCCAGCCACTTCCGCTGTTGAGTTGAAACAGAAAGGAGCCGATACGGCCGAGAGGCTTGGCGTCGGACGCCGCCTTCTTTTGATACCGGACAGATCCCGCTGTGCTGCGAGTGCAGGAGGTACTCGACGCTTGACGGGAGACCGTAGAGAAAGCCAGAGTCCACGTTGAAGGCTGCCATTTTTCGTGCAGACATGCGGTCATGTGGCAGGGCCGCCGGATGGATGAATGATATTGACTAAACCCTTTGTATCGGGCGGTAGCTTGCGTCACGGCAGTGGAGCGGTTGCGAAAGTTGTCAGCGCTCGGGCCGCTCAAAAAAGGGGCCGAGCATTCGGCTGGTGCGCCGTTCCTGTAGCTCAGATATTAAGGCGCTCCCGTATCTCACAGATCCGATTCAGAGGATTGGAGCGCTGAAAGACGGCCAGCTGAATATACCATAGGTGAAGGCAGTCCCTAGGTGAAGGTAGTTCCTCTGTGAAGGCAGTCCCTCAGTGAAGGTAGTGTTCGAAAAAGGTAGCCCTATCCAGCAGTAAGTCCCGTCGCCTCAAATGCAAGCACCCTTTACAAGTTAGAAAACAGTTCCTGGATCTACCATTTCGCTGCGATTTCGGTGCACGCTTGCGTTAACAGAAATGCCGTCGTCATTGCAGGGACGCCTCGGGCTGCTTCGAGGACGACGACATCATCTTCGAGGACTTTGCTCGCCTGCGGCTCCGTGGCGAGACGGATGCCTAGAGGGGACCGCGAGGCAAGCAGTGCCGTCCGCCCCCCCCGGGTCCCCCCTCCGTCCTGGGGGGTGAGGTCTCAGGGCACCGTGCGCATCCCAGTTGCTATGCATGCCGGCAGCCTGCTCAAGTGCCAAAACTCCGTTGTGGAAACGAGCTTAGCAAGCGTGCTGGCCGCTCGGGGCAGCTGTCCCCCTCCCCCTTGTCCCCGCCCGTCCAGTCCGACGATCTGGCCGACACTCGGGGGTGCGAAGCTGGAGCAGAGAATGAGCCCAGGTCATCCGATGCGATCGAGCATATGGGGCGTCCCAACGAGAGCGCAAGGCTTAATTTCGAGATAAAGTGCTTCATTTATTCGGAAAGTGCTTATTTTTATTTCGGTTAAGGCACCATTGCCACGGTCCTTTGATGAACTACTTATTCGTCTGGAAACTTTGGCAGTTTTCGCCCTAGTAAATCTTGCAGCCATGAGTAGGGTTAACCCATGTAGGAAGGAAGATAAAAAGGAGAGAAAAATATTGCTTGTCCTGTATACTTCTTGTCTTTGTCTTTTTTTGCACTATTTTATATGTTTAACTAAGATGAACCAACTAGCCCAACAACGTACCCCACTAAAGAAAAATATCTGTACTCCGTTCACCCTTAAGCTGACAACGCAGTGAAGCTACATGCTTGCTGGAGTAGTCTTGCGTCTATCTCTTGCAATATGATCACGGTCCTCCCCATACCCATGTGCAGAGAGCCGGGTCGGGTGACGAGAGGGAGGCAGTTGATAGATTGGTTTGGTGAGCACGTAGCTCTCGCTGCATTGTCAGCTTTGGGGTGGTTGGAGTATAAATGTTTAGCAAAAGAATCTCGAAAAATATTTGTAATCTTTTTAAAGCAGATGTAGTTCCCGTCGCAAAGCTTTCAAATTATTCCGAAAGATTGTGACCCCTAGGTCTCGAGTGTAGACGGAGTTTTCAATCTTTGTATCTTTTCGACCAGTCTTTTGGGGTTTCATGAAAGGGTACACCCATCCTGCGACTTTCTCCGCAGTGGCTTCTTGATACCTACGTCCATCCGTTAGGTTTTCCGAGCAATCCAATTGGTTTACTCGTGCGTGCCTCGATTCGTTTCTAGAAAAAAAATTTCCCATGGTGTGACAAAAAGGTTGCAGGCCAGGTATTGTAACTATCATAGTTTCAATAAATTGCAAAAAAAGTAACACCAAATTTGAAAAAGTGACCTAAAGAATAAATAGGACTCGAAAGTATAAGATAATATGGTGAAGAATACAAGCTGCAACAGTCCTTTGTTCTTTGGCATCGCTGGTGATTTATAAGCAGGCTTTGGTTCAAACTAATTAATGGAACGCGAAGCTCGGTTCTCATTCTTTCAACTCTATGGCAAAGCAAACAACTTGGTTGTTTTGCTCGCAGCCTGACAAAGTGCCATGGGACATGTGTCGGACGTTGTGTTCCACAAACAGTGTGCACTTTATACCGAAATAAAAATATTTACACTTTTCGAATAAATGACGCATTCTATTACAAAACTTTATCTTGCGCTGTTGTTGAAATGCTCTACATGAAGTAATTGGTCTGGATTTGTGCCCCCTCTTGCGTGACAAAACGGGATCCAATACGGACAGGCATTCCCACCTTTACGCGAAGGAAGAGCGTAGGGTAGATCTGTCTCGCTTGTTTTTATTTATCGGTTATTTAAAGGCCCATTATCTTTGTCGTTACGAGGACCACAGGGAGTATGTTCGAAACAGGAGGACGAATGGTATGCACGAAGGATCGGCAAAATGGGAGACTCCCGAAAAACGAGATGCTTACGGGTTAGTTTTTTCCATCGCCATTCTCTACTTTTCCAGGCATTTCCCATTTTCATGTTTTTCTCATGTGAGGCCAATTTGGAGTGCTCGTTTACTTGGTAATAGTTTCGGAAGCGAGGCAAAGGTTGGAGCGGTCCACTCAATGTCATCGCAATAAATATGAGGGACGGAGTGAACGAAATGGGCACCGGCCTAATGTGCGATAACGACACGTTGCACTTTTTGTAATGGTGGCGATGCTGTCGATTTATGGCACCGGTACAAGGGACAAAGAACAACGGAACATCCATTTGTGTCACATTCCTTGCGTTAGGAAGGGGGGAAACCAAGACCAGCTACTTCTAGATATATGGTCGTTCGTAGAGGGCCTATAGTCAGCGACAGGTTAAGAATGTAGTGGAAGCACCACGTACGATCCACGTTCGTCGCCTTCTGCAAGGCTTTGGCTGCATGCGCACCAAAGTGTTCTCAAAGGCGGAAAGCTTGCGCTGGAGGCGGAGCATGTGCCGCATTCTTAGTCCGTTGTCGACTCTAGGTTTGGTTGCAGGCAACGCTCGAATCCCGTCTCGACGCACCCGAGTTCGAGAGACGAGCTCTCGGAACAGTCGGCACAATTCCGGGTTTCGCGACGCCGGAGTAATTGTGCGGTCTCTTGCAACAGGGTTCTCGAATTTCGTTTTCTCATTGTATCGCCACGAGGCACGCCTCGCGCCACCGTCCCACGTTGCGGTTTGGGCGACCGGCCGACAATCCAGACGCGCATTTGCCGGCGCCACGGTCCTGCCCGACCTCTTGTTCCCCCGCCCCCTCCTTGCGTCGTCGTGGCTACCTTCCGGGCACAGCTACCGCTGCGCGAAGATGTGGAAAGAAAAAGAAAAAGAAAACAACTTCCCTTTGTGTTGTCATTGTTGGCAAGTGAGTGAGACCAGTGTCGTGTACGCCTCTTTTCCCCCTTTGTGTTTTCGAAAGACCAAGAGTGGGGCAGTAAAGACTGGCAGTCTTGCGCCAAAAGCTGCGTCTTGTGTCTCTTTGGTTTGCCAAAAATGGGGTTGGGGGGGGATAGTCTGTCTTCCGATGCATCGCCAGCCAGAGTCCCACTGGGCAAAGAACGACCGATGCCGCTCGGCCTTTTGGGAACCCGAGCATTGGTCAAGAGTGCCGTTGGCAACCAGTTGGCAGGATGCCACCCAGCCTTGCAACATGCACCGTGAACAGTATACCGTAAAATACCGAGCATGCGCCCGTGTCGCAATAGGTGCCAACCCCTACTTTTTAAACGTTTGAAATATAAGCGAAGGACATAATCAAGCACCCACCTTGGCAAACTCCAGAGGTGTTCTTCCGTGTCGGCTGCTTCTAGGGGAAGCTGACGCAAGGCAGCGAAGCTTCGCGTGTGTCGTGTGTGAAGCGGTGAAGTTTGATACGAGAGCACCAGTGTGAAGCTGGCTTCAGAGCAGCGTGGTAGCTTTTTAAAGGGCAATTCTGGTCAATGTTTTTGAACTTGGGATTATGATTGTTTTAAGCCAAAGCAGTGTCCCTGAATTACAAGGTATACATTTTTTTTTCCTCGGTTGTGTGTAGCTTTATAAATATTGCGGCTTAAAGTTCAGTTTTGGGCGTCTATGGCAAAACCGAAATTATCTGCTGGAGGGATGGCAACACTGATCATCAGGCGTACGGCCACGACGTGACGTCGTAAGTGTGCTGCGGTATGCAATATAACCTATCAACCGCAGCTCCACTGCGACGCAACATCACAAGGGCACTGTACCAGTGTTCCTCGACTAAAATCTACCCGCTTGCTGCCCACTGAAGAGCAGCTGGTTGCATCTTTAAAATCTGTTTTAGTGGAGTATGTGGCTTCACTTTGACATAATATTTCGGCTGTAATCCTATTTCATGCCACTAAAGTGATACCAGTCATTTATTTCGTTTTCGACTGGAGTTGCACTTCAAGAATTGGGAGTTCTCCCAGGCCCCTATCTATTGCTTTAACGTTTCATTAGGTCAAACAAGAGCCTGCTACGTGACCCTTCTGCGTTTCTTTCGGGCCTAACAAGTGCCCATTCCCAATTCTTTGCGATTCTCTCGCAACTTTTGGGCAGGCACTTGCTCATTATTTTACGGCATACTACTGGTTAGTATCCAAGGGATGTTGAGCATTTTGCAGAAGGGATCTCGTGCCAGCAAAAGGTATTCGTGTCCAGGATGTCTTTCCGAGTATGTATTGAGAAAATCTCAATACGTTTTAGATGTCTTTTCAAGCCTGTACTCCTGTGGTTCCCAACCACCAATGTTTCGGGGACCCCGTCCAGATTTTTTCCCCCGTTTTTGGGGAAAGACATCTGCAGCATTGCTTTTGTGGCCTTGAACACAGCCCATACTGTCTGTCCTTAAGGTTGCTTCCTTCTTTGGGAACCATGTCTCTTGCCGCGGGCCCCCGCCTTCTGTTGTCGGTACCGGGATGACATTTTTCAAGTATATTTGGGTCAAGGGCGTAAGCTCCATGGACCCTGGAAGGGTCCGCAATTTTATAGATATGCAGTCGTTTTATAAGATTAGCCTCGATAAACCCCAATTTCTCGCCCAGCGCTAAACAAACACAGATTCTGAAAAAACAAAATAATAATAAACCCTGAAAAGACATTTTCGAATTAGAAGGAAATGGAACCCCAACAACACGGAACCCTTGTCATAAATAAGTTGTCAATTGTCACAAATATCTATTTATTTGCATAACATACTCTAGGAATTATCTAGCCCTATTTAAAACCACAAATCCTTCAGCTCGTAAGTATTATTACTACTACTGCCCCCCTGTAAAATATTATTGCTTATGTGGTGCAGGTATCTCATACATGTAGTATATCTATGGAAGTAAAATGGGACCGGCGCTTTTGAACGTAACAGCCGGGAAAACGTATCAACTGAGAACATATCAATGAGGTTTTGCTGTATACCACTTGATCTCACCATTCAAAGTTCTCAACAAGTCGCTCCCCACCAATGTATCACAGTAGTCTCTTGTTCTGTTTGCAAGCACTCGGCCAAAAAATGGGTCCGATCAGAAATAAATAGTGGTGGCAGTCGCTTGTGGCTCTTATTGTTGCCAAGGGGGGCGGCGGTCACGGTGAAAGAAGGGAAGCGCTCAAACAGTGCCACGAAGCAAGGGTGTGGAAGGTTCGCTCAGATATTTTACAAATGCCGCGGGATGGCGCAGCGTATTCTTCAGAGACCTCTATCCCCCGCCGTGGTGGCGGTCAGTCGAAGTAGTCATCTATGTCCACCTCTGGGTCGAGCAGCCGGTCTGCGAGGGGCCCAAGGTCCAGCTGGTCCAGCAGCAGGTTCTCGCACATCTCCTCAAGGTCCGTCTCTCCCACGAGGATGGCCCCCTTGAGGCGCCCGCCCTGCAGCAGAAGCTTCACAAACTCCGCGTTGGGCGTGATGCGCACCAGTGCCCTGTGGTCGTCCTTGTCTAGACCCTGGCCGTTGAACAGTCCCAATAGGATGACCTGGACGGGTTGAAAGATCTGCAGTTAGCTAGAGGTCCCTCATGGGCTCTTCTGTCATGAATTCCCTGGGTGCAACTAACTAGAGGGCCTTCATAGATTCCCGTCACCTGCTACCCAATAAGAGCGTCTGAGCGAGGCACGTGACCCAACGTCATGGGAGCATTTGTGTCACTACACCAAATGCGAGGCCCGGAGGAACCGGTTGTCGTCTGCTAGCCAAGAGTCGTCTGTTCCGAAATTAGCCAACTTCAAATGAACACCCACCACTGCAACATTTACGTCCATTAGAATAGAGAGCACTTTGGGAACAGTTCATGAGACAACAGTACGCTCAATTTAGCTGCGAATGCCAGGGCACAGTGCAATGTATTCAGCGGAAACGGCCAATTACACGGCTGCAATTGCCAACGACCACGGCACTACAAGGAAAAAGAAATTGACAGCAGATACAAATGTGACGTCACTTTGTTGGTTTAAATATAATTGAAACTCATAAATTTCTGATTGATTGTTAATTTTTTTATTCTTCATTTCTTCTCGTTATAGATGGAATTGTGCGAGTTCAATTGCCACAAAAGAAAAGACCTAGAATTACTTTTTGTCGCAAAAACGGCACTGTTGCTGTGGCGGTAACGAGGCCCCCGTGGCCTCAACCATGGAGTGTTATCACGCGTCTTGCCTTGGCACTCTTATTGGGTTGCAGGGGCTACAGGCTCCACAGTTCACCAAGTTATCGTGAAACGATGTATAGTCATGGGTTTCCTGGGTGGAGGTGCAACCAGACGGGGATTCCTCATGGGGTCCCTAGTGAACTGCGCCATGGAGGCACAGCTCACTAGGGGGTTCCCCATGGACTCCCTGGTCACCTAATTTCTAGTCTTGGAATCTTTAGCTGAAGGTTAGGCTAGCTAGGGATTCCTCATGGGGCCCCTAGCCAAGGACTTTCTTGGAGGCACGGGTTCTTCATGAATTCCCTAGAATCCCTAGTCATGGACTACTAGGTGTAGGTGCGGTTAGCTGGGGATATTTTATTTATTTATTTATCCATATTGCCAGTTCATTGGAGCCAAAGCAGGAGTGAATGATTCAAGTACAATGCACATTTTTCACTGAAAGAATACAGCAATTTGTGTATATATCATTTTTGTTTACACGATACAGTATATGCAGCTGCACACACCCAGAATTTTTTTTTCCAAGTTTGATGGAGCCAGCGTTACATACATTTACACGTTGGTAGCCTGGTACCTAAACAATATACTAAACAGCAAAATGACTATACAGTGTCAAAACAACTTAGCATTGAAAGAAAATATCTAGAAAATTTGCAAAAGCTGAAAACGAATCAATGTCAACAATGTCACTGGGTAGCTTGTTCCATAGAATGGTATGCACAGAAACTTATTTTTTAAATGCGTTTATTCGAGCAGTAACAGGAGTCGCCATTTTTTAATGATGTAATCGTTCAGAGTAGAAGGTTCTTGGTTTAGGTATTTACGACTATGAATTTTTATGAGTTTAGTATAAATCTGAAAGACATGCCAGCATGACCTTTTATTGATTAGGGGTTGTAAATTTGCTGAAGAGTCCTGTGACCACATTGATGACCTGAAATCTAAAAAAGTCGCCCGTGCAGCCAGTGATTGAACAGTCTCAAGCTTTTAACAGGGTTTACCTGCCAGGAATCCCAAGCTTTTGACGCATATTCTAGGATAGGTCTAATAACAGTTTGATATGCTAGAAGTTTAACCGAAGGTGGAGCTTTACAGAGCGTTCTCTTAAGATACCACAATTTGTTTGTTGCTAGCTTTCTGATGTACTCCACATGGCGGTTCCATTTTAAATCACTTGAAATTATCACACCGAGATATTTATACAGTCGGCTCTCATTAATTCGAACTTTCTTAAATCATACTTGCGGATAATTCAAACTAACATGCAGGTCCCATCCTATGTGTCTCTATGGGAGGAAACTCCTTACAATTCAAACTTTGCTTTATTCAAATAAATTTTCTGCTCCGCTCGAGTTTGAATTAACAAGGTTCGACTGTAGCTGTCGGCCTTTTTATAGTCTGACTCCATCAGCCTCGTAATTACAATTTAGAATATTTTTCTTTGTTGAAATATGCATATCCTGAGTGTTGTTGATGTTAGTCAGCATATTATATTCACAACACCACAACCCCATGCCAGTAACACATTGCTTAACTTTATCTGCTACTGAAGTGATAAAACGGGGGTGTAAATTACCCAGTCATCAGTGAACATTCATATTTTCATGGGGCCGTTAGCAACAAGTCCAAACAAACTGTTGACGTGAACCAAAAAAAAAAAAAAAAAAAAAAGCAGGGGGCTTAAAACAACCTTGTGGCACCACGGAGTATACATCAATCATCCCGTATGGGTACCATTGACATCCACAAATTGTTAGCGATCTGTGAGATATGCGTTAATCCATCTGATTAGACATGAGGGAACACCAAGGTCTTTTGATACTTTCACTAGTTTACGATGAGGTACTCCGTTGAAGGCCTTCGACAGGTTAATGAACACAGCATCCACCTGCTTACAATCATTCACATAGCTGGATATTTCATGATAAAATCCAATTAACGGAGTCACTGTTGATGAGTCTCGATGAAAACCATGTTAGGTAGTTGGGGTCTAACACAGCATTTTCCTCTACGAAAGAAAAGAGTTTTTTGTTTACAATGTATTCTAGTCATTTACAAGATGTGCAGCAAGGGAAATGGGGAGATAGTTTTGAACTGAGATATCTTACGCTTTTTTTTAGGGGAACAACTCTAGTCACTAGCCAGTCATCTGACGATACCGCATCTTTGATAAATCTAGAAAATATATATGTTAATTAAGTACTTCGAGACCCATTCAGCATACTTTTTAAGAAATGCATTTGGCAAGGCAACTGATCCAGATGATTTCTTAATGTCAAGGGATAGCAATAATGACACAATACCCCATTTCGATATGATACTGCTCACGTCATTGTCACATGCAACAAGAATATTTTGATCCTCCTTTCTTGTAAACACAGATTGGAAGAAGCGGTTAAATTCAAATGCCATTTCCACCTTGTCAGTCACCGAATTGATGTTAATGCATAATGAACTGCTGCTGCCTTTTGCCGGCGATAGGCAATGCCAGAACTTTTTGGGGGCCAATGAAAGAAATTCGGGTAAGGATTTTGTGAAGTACCTACTATGTTTCTTCGGCTGACTTTATCATTCTTTTTTAAGTTGCCAGCCTGTTGACTTACATTGAACGATCGGCGTTTTCGCAGCTTTTCCAATTCCCGTTTTACATGCAAAATTTCTCTCGTGATCCATGGGTTTCGGCGTTTAATCTTTCTTGCCTTCTTAGGAATATAGGTAGCAATGCAATAGCCCATTATTGACTTAAATCTTAACTACATGGGATTTACATGGGATTCCTCTTGGATGTTCCCCGACAAGAAATTTGGTGGAGTGGTTCCGAAGGTACAGGGGAGAGAGCATAATGCAGGGGGAGAGAAAGAATTCATTTACCCAATACACATAATCCAAACGTGGATTATGTGTATTCGATAATTTAGATCACTCCGGTTTACAAAAGAGATTTATACAACATATTTACAGTCTAGACATATGGAAAGCTCTTGAAGGTTGATGTTGCATCGATCAACGGTTCCAACTAGCTCTGCTCGCGCCGGTAGCCTCTCTTCCTCTTCTTCTTAGCACATGCTCCTTGGTCTTCTTTTCCTGTGAGATGTGTAGTCGGGCGCGTATCCACATTTAGTGAGAAATGTCCTCAGTATTTAATAATGTGCTCATCAGAGTATCGCGCGTCACTCCAAACTCGTACACTTTCCCTCTCCTGCTCGTGGCTTACACAGCACTCCACGAAACTTCAAAGATAGCACATAGGGAGATCGTGGATTGCCTCAAGGCCAGGAACCCGTTGCGACACGTCGGCCAGCCTTCCTCACCCGGTAGCCAAAGAAGCGCGTGACGTGGGAGAAGAGGTCGAAGCGGGCGTCGGCCATGGGTGGCGGCTGCCCCAGGTGCTCTGCGGCCATGCAGTGGGCGGCCCAGTCACCCATCTGCCGTGCCTGGCCCCACAGGCGCATCTGGAACCAGAGCTCCGAGCGTGCCCAGGCCGCACAGCACACGTCCCCAGCCGCGTACACGCCATCCACGGAGCTCCTCATGTGCTCGTCCACTGAGATGCCTCCGTCCGGGCCTAGCCGCAGCTGCACACGTGTCGTGCAAAAAGGAGAGACTCTTGGGCATTGTTCGTTCGCATACACAGAAAGCAAACGTGGACTTTGATCTTAAAACGAGCGGTTGCGGAGTGGACGCAAGTGCTGCGTCTGCATTTCGATGAGGCTCCCGTTCTCGGTGATTGAATGCGCGTCCCAGCCAAACACTAATGCAGCACTCGCATCTGCTCCGGCCTCTGATAGGCAATGTAGAGTATCCGGCACTACGGTCTCGGTATATCTCGGGGGTGGCCAAACTGCGGCTCGCGAGCTGCATGCGGCTCTTCACGGGTCCAAGCGCAGCTCGCGGCCCCCTGGTAAGCGTGGCTTCTTCCCCTCCTGTGTCTCCAAGACGAACACAGTTCTAGAATTTAAAAAAAAGTTCACAGTCGTGGCAGCCTTGTACTAGGTACACTACACACGTACAGCTGGACTGCTTTTTGACACATACACGTGTCCACAGACCGTTTCCTTTATTGTTCTAGAAAGAATTGCGAACTGTATACGCATAACGGGTGATAGGGGCATAGGTTGGCTAGTGAGCCATGTATTTATTTGTGCTTAATGGTTGAAGAAACGCTCTGCTGCCTGGTGTCATTTGTTGCAGTCGACAATTATACTTGCCCCCCTTGGAAAGGACTGTTCTCTCCATATTGCTTCTTGTTAAAATTAGCCCCGCCCCCCCCTCCCCCACCTTTTTTTCCCTTGTGGCTCTCAGAATTTTTGTACTAGTTTTGTCTGTGGTTCTAAACCCATGTCACTCTGGCCACACCTGGTATATCTAGTAGGTGTTGATCAACTGTAATGTTGCAAGGAAGGGTAGAAACCATTCCATTCCCCTATATCTTGCAACATCAAGAGATTGATGCAACGTCCATACTGTGTTAGCCTCGCAAGCACCGAGCAAGAGGTGAATCTGTTGTGTGGGCATCTACAGAGCAAACTGTCAATAAACATAAAATAAAAAAACTTTTTTCAATTTTAAAAATTAAAAAAGCCTGGCAATGTTACATGTTCATGATTAAATAAAATGTCATATTTATTCAACAATTATGCCACACTTTTTCTCTGCTCTTTTAATTATCTGCTTCTGGTGAAACTTTTTTTTTTTTTTTTTACTTATTTACTCGCTTTGCAACCCAACAGTAGATTGCAACGGTATTGTTATCTCAGATTTCATTTTTGTATAAGATGAGCCTATTTGTACTTCAATAAAGTAACCAATTAGCAGAACACCGATATGCCATAGCACTAAAGAGTCACTCCTGATAAAAAAAGAAAAACCACCAGTAATATAATTTATGCTGTCTAATACTGTAATGAACCACTGAATCAGAAAAAGGTGTGCCACTATAAGGCTTTGCCAAGCACCAATTGGCTGCTAGACTTAAAACGATGAGTATGCAAGGACCAGCTATTAATTACAGAGCATGTAAGCGCTGTTCTTCGTGGACAGCTCACCTGCGGCACGTCGATGCTGTCTGCATTGGGTGTCACACCAGTGGCGCTCACCACAAGGTCACAACCAAACAACGTCCCATTGGTGAGAAGCACATAGAGTGGCCAATCCATAATGGCCTCAACACCAGTGTTCCCCTGCTGCTGCTGCGGAAATGGCGTCTCGGTCAAGGACCGCTGTCGAAACTGTTCCGGCGTCAGAAGCTCGTCCACTTCGCAGCTGTACCCCACGTGCACCGTTTTCTGTTTGCGTGGTGGGTAAGACGATAAAATATTTGTATATTCGAATTTGTGCGGTCAATATGTTCTTGTCACTTGAAGTAATTTTCATTACAAAATTACCAAGTTTATTTTCTTGACACACTGTGCACAGTGAGCACAAATATTAAAATGTATGAGAAACTACAGCTGTTACCAAGACAGTTTCGCATAGACCTCGAAATCACGGAGGACAATGCATTGCTTCTATCGCGATAGATATTGGACTGAGGGAAATACTCGGAGGAGAAAATCTTTCACCTTTGCTCATTTTGAGAAAACAGCTGTCTGACGTTAAGGTAGACCATCCTCCCACTGTTCATTCTTAATGCCATTTAATGATGATGATGGTGATGATGCGTGTCAATGTGTCTTACCTTCTGGGCCCCTGCTCCAAGCATGACACACCCAGATGCCCAGTCAGGTCCCAAGGCACTACCAGGAACACCTTTGCTGGGTGTCTCGCCTTCTGCAAGAACAAAGGGAGGAAGAGGCACAACTGTTAAGCAGCTTCCCTAAAGCTACACTCAAGGTGTCGAAACCACACCAAAGCAGGCTTTTTTGACTGCACATCGGCTTCGACTCAGACTTTACCAATCTCGCTGGCTCTCCTAAAGGGTGCTGCTGGGGCATCTCGGTCAGAGTACAGCTGCGGCATGAAGAACTGTGCGGCCCCTGGATCGAAGAAGGTAGCCCCAATGCTGTCCTGGCGAACGGCCCATAGAACCTGGCAGCCCTGTATCTCGTGCCTGCAGAAGAACTGCTCTGGTCAAGTAACCCACCTCGAGAGCTTGAAGAACATTTGGGGACTCAAAGCTTCCAGGGGGGGTCAGAGTATCAGATGTTCGGAAAACCCCCCCCCCCCTTTCCCCGCCCTAAATAGTTACATGCAGAATCTAAGGGCGGGGCATGGGGGGTTCAGAATATCCTGACCTCCCACCTTTAAATTACGCCAATGGTGACACAATGACACACGATGCCATGGTGTTCCTTGACACCATGGCCTGAACGTGACATCATTTGACACTACAACTTGATGTCAGGTCACGTGAAGTCATGGTATCACATGACGTGATGTCACTCAACACCACGACTTGACGTAAGGTCATATGACGTCTTGTGTCACATGATGTGACGTCGCTTGACAACAGGTCACATGACGTGACGTCGCTTGACACCACAGTTTGAAATCAGGTCACGTAACTTCACTTGACAACTTGATGTCTGGTCACATGACGCCATGGTGTCGCATGATATGACATCACTTGATGCTACAACTTGAAGTCAGGTCATATGACATTGTGTCACATGACGTGACTTGACAAAACTACTTGACGTCAGATCACATGATGCCATGGTGTCACATCATGTGATGTCACTAGACACCACGACTTGTCGTCAAGTCACATGATGTGACATCACTTGATGCCATGATTTGACACTGTCACATTACGTCGCATGGTCCGACGCCAGGTGTACCAATAAAAAATCTTATGGAAATCCACCGTTTCTCATGCATTGCAAATGTGCATATGGCAGTTTGATCAACAGATCGAAATACAGCTGCCAAGTTTTTATTTATGCACTCCTTTTAACGCGACACTTGACAAATGAAAAAGTGCACGGGGACTCACACCAGCTCTGTGGCAATGCCCCCGTTACCCACGACGGCAACTCTTCGGGCACCTTTCAGTTTTTCTTGAAGTGCCTGCGTCAGGGAGACATTCAGAACTTCGGTCAGTCTGCATGCTTATGGAAACCTCAAAATCCTGAAGTTGTAAAAAAGAGCCAAAATAAACAAAGGGATACACAATCCACGACATAAACCACACTAGTAACTCGTAGTGAAGGTTATCCCCCCCTACCTAATGTATGCCAAATCTGACAAACATGCAGTGAAGACTGTGACCATGTAGCAGAAAGTAGCAGAAGGAAGTCGCCCCATATAATGCACATTAGGAGATGCTACACTATAATAGACTCACGATAATTCAAACTCTGATATTTCATACTTCTGGTTAATTCAAACAAATTCAAAAGTTTTGTTTGTCCCGCTATGTTTTTAATGTATTAATAAACCGCTTAATTCGAACAGTGTTTTCGTGTAATTCATGCTTTTTGTTCTCCTGCTGAGTGTGCTTCCTTCCGAGCACCTGTGCTATGCAGGGAGGCAACCCGTCTGCTTGCTTCTGCGGGTGTTGCTTCTCTACAATGCACTGGTCCGGTGCTCGGTAAGAAGCGCATTCAACGGAACTCAAGCAGGACACACGTGAGCTACGAAAACGGGCACCACGCCGAAATTTCCATAGCAACTTGAGCGGACGCTGCAACGTGATGGCATGGCATAGGCTGTCATCATAGCGTCTACACAAGTTGCAACAAAAGCTGCTGCGCGATGCCTGTTTTCATCGCTCATGTCTCCCCTGCTTAATAGTCCACATTAGACAACTTCTTGGCCTGATGAACAAAATTAATTTTGTTTTGAGTTGTCATGTGCTGTCTAAAATGTTCACGATAAACAACATTCTTGAAAGATAAACCTATGTCATACATTTTACAAATGTTTCATGCATGGCATACCTGCTTTTGATCAGTAGGCCTATGAAGAGAAAATCATCCAATATCTGCTTTGTATGTGTAGCCATTCATATGGCAAATCATAATTTTATGAAGCATTATATTTAGATGAATTTCTGATAATTCAAACAAATTTGTGGCTTCTAGTAGTTTGAATTAATGAGTCTACTGTACATGAACACACTGGAGTAGCAATGAGGGACAGGACGAGACAAACATTTAGCAACTTTATCTTGTCTGCTTTCCCACACTCCCCACTTTACTTTGGCATACCTGGACAGTCTCAGTGTCTCGCACTCCAAGAACCAAGGGGTTCCCTTCTGCCAGCAACTGAAACATTTCAAACAGCATTCTGTCAATGGGTCAGGTATGCGAGGCAAATTAAAAGAAATATTTAATTCTACTTCGAAGAAGCACAATGACTATGAGCATTTCGATTACGATGGAAACCAATCTACAAGTCGATAATCTGTGTCCTGTCTTTCCAAACATGTTTCAGCTCTTTTGGGTAACCAGTCATTTGAAACGGAGCGCTTCTGTTCTCGACCAAAAGTGTTTGGGTTAGCGAAGTACAGTTCTACCGTGTGTCTGGTGGGAGTGATATGAGCGTACTACATCAGCAATCATAGTGACGGCATGTCTTCTTCCAACTGGTTCCAAGTGTGACCCAAGTAAGAAATGAAGAGAACTTAGATAACCCTTATTAGATTTGCATTATTGCACATTTATAGTCGGTTAATGCAGCATACTACTTGTGAACAGTCTGCCTTGGGCCCTCATAACTTCTCCACCGTGAGTGGTACCACACCTGGGGTCTGCCTCCTAAGCAGAGGCATATGCTCTTGTATGATACGGTGCGCCGGCTCTTGAGGGTCGCCACCTATGGCCAGAAAGAAAAAAATGAAAGCCGTTTACAAATCCCTGTAACGCCGAATTGGAGCGCAGCTCTTGAGGAAGAGTAGGGAAGGGTACTGAGGGGGGTCACGTCACCTGCGGGTAGTCACGTGACCCCGGGAGGTCACGTGACCCCCCCACCCGGCTACGCCGACGCCGGCGCCGCTCAGGCTGGAAAAGGGCCCCTAAGAGCTGTGCTCTAAAACAAAAAAAAAAACATTGTGCAGCTTCATCTTTCGATGGAAATGCAAGTGATACAGAAGCATCCGCACAATTCGCAACACGTCAATAAATACAGGAATTTTCTTTTTGTTACTACATACAGTAAATAAGCGAGCATGTGCCCCCATCGCGATAAGCACCCTCCCCCTACTTTTGATAAGTTTTAAATACAAGCGAAGGACATATCAAATGCCCACGCCATCAAACGTCGGATCCAACTGAACAAACCGGGATGTTCCTTTGAATCGGCTGCTTCTTCACGAACGCCGGCGCGATGCAGTGAAGCTTTAAGAGCGCACACCGGTGTAAAGTGGTGAAGCATCACTGCTTAGAAATTTAGGGGTTCAGGCAGACCCCACACCACCCCTATGCCGTCCCATCGGATCAAAAGGGCCTACCTGACCACATGCCCCGTCTGCTTTTTCATTTTCAAACATGACGAGCATCTATCCCCATTTTTTCGTGATAATCTTCGACATTAGGTGGGCACTATTGCTCGGTATTTTACAATATTTTGCAACACTTCCGCAATGCGGAAAAAAGTTTTTTCTTTTTTTTGCTACCTAATCAAATTTAACCAATTAAGAGTTTTTTCTGTCTCATCACTGACACCGTTTGACGTCTCCCTGATCAGTGTTTTAACACGAAGCCTGCTGAGAAGACCTTGCTTTTTCCTGCTAAGAAGCACGAAACTGTGCAAATTTCAGATACAAAAAGTAAAACAAAAAGGATTATCTTGTTTTCTAATATAGATCCCATCTACTAAAGTGAATAAAGGTGTGTCCATCCTATTATGAAAAGAACACCAACATATGACCTACTTTGTGACACATAAGCAGTTTTAGTTCACTTTTAAGGATGAAATTTATTTAGGAGACAATTAGTTTCACCATAGTTGCTCAGATTCAATGACTGTATATTGTGCAGGGGACTTGACCATGAACTCACAATGTATAAAATCGCCTTTACCAACGATGGTCGGAATGAGCTTCTCCAAAACAATTTTCTCAAAGTTACCAAAATGCTTTTTCAAGACTGAATCTGTTGTAAACCAGGACAAGACAGAGAGAGAAACAAGAACTGAGACTAGATGCAGTGGTAGCCACTATACTAATGCTCTGCTTTTCCCCAAGCAACATGAGCCGTTAGCCACTCCAGCGACCGAGACATATCAGGCGATCCTGCCATCGAGTCGCATGGCATACACCATTCATTGTTGTACAATTTGAGTGAGAACAGAGCATAGGTTTGTAGGGCCAAGAGGTTAGGGACGACCACGGATGTGGCTGGGAAGTGGGGAGAAGTCTCTTTTTTTGTGCAGTTCTTCGGTCTCTTGTTGACACACGATGATGTCACAGCTGACTTGAGCGTATCGTTGCAAAGGCGAGAGAGTGGAGACGTGCTACGCACCCGAGAGTCTGCATCCAGAGAAACCAGGACGTCCTGGAGCACTCTGACATTGTGATGCTGTTTCTCAAGGTAGGTCAGAAGCCTTTCTTCAACTTTGAAACTCTCCATGACCCTGCATACCTGAACATTTTTGGCACCTGTCAAGTAGTGCAAGTGGGCCTTTGTGCCGATTAGCTGCACTAAGCCACATTCGCTTGTGATCCGTGAGAGCCGACAGTTAGATTCTCCAAACAACAATGATGAAGATTGTAATAATCTTTATTTTCTGTGCCTAAAGACAATCACACAGGTTTTCTCTTTAGTGCACACAATTAAATAAAAACATTAAGTATCAAACAGAGACCATATAAAAAAAGGCAAAGTGATATAAGGACAAAGGATAGGCACATGTTCTAACTTGCTGACGAAAACTGAATGGTCACTAAATATGTCTAAGCTAGATGATATGTGTGACATTGGCAAAACCTTACGGATGGAATGAAAGTAAACGACAGTGAAATGTATAGCAACGCGGCAAGGAACATGAAAATTGACACAGCTTAAAAGTAGGTCAGAATCAAATTCACCATTTATAAAGCTGTGCAGAAGACCCAAATTAAGCTTGAGGTATGCATTTGACAGAGGCCTAAGTAAAACTCAACCGAGAAGAAATTAATATTTATAATGAATGCGATGCTGAAAGTGCCTATCATACACATGAAGTTATTTATCTTTTTTGCACAGATTAAATGCTCAATGACTGCATAGCTGTTACCGAATTTAAAAATACCTGACATTTCTCTCTCTTTTATGGGCCAACCAAATTTTCTGTGTCGGTTGTTGACAGCCCGACTAATCCCATGGGGAAAAACTGAAGTTTCTTGACAAACCTTGACAATATTGGTTGCTGTCTTGACGATGGGGGAGGCAGTCACCAGCAGGATGGAGTCTGTTGGGCACAGTTGAGCCAACTAGGAGCCAAAGTGAAAAAAAAAAAACAAACAAACAAACAAGACAAGCGATTCTTGACATACTGGTGTCAAAATAAGCAGGAAATAATTAAAACAAAGTTAACATAATTGGGAACTTTAGGTCATCCTCACGCATGCTGCCTTTCAGGCACGTAGCCAGGATTTTGTTTCGGGGGGGGGGGGGTTACCCATGACAAAATGCTGTATGAGGGAGAGGGGGGAGAGAGGAGGCCCCAGCAAATGGAAAATTTTGGGGGAAGGGGGGGGGGGGGGGGGGCTCGGGCTCCATGGGTCCCCTTCCTGCAACTATGTACCTGCTGCATTTACAACATGTATGTACACTGCCAGTGACAGCTGAATGAACTTATCGGGGAGTGAAGTTGAGTACATTATGACCATACTTTCTGCATTTCCTCAAGTTTGTTTCCTCAAGAATGTTGACCCATATTAAGAGAAAATGCAAAACATGTCCATATCGAAGTCTCAAAAAAATGCATCCTAACACAAGCAAATTTTTATGTTATTTGCACCCATAGAAGTGGAATTTAAAGTTAAGTGTATGTCGAATATGTCGCATGGTAAATAATCTGGCCAGTTGGTATACATTGCACTATCATGAAAATCCGACGGCGCTCAAAAACTAACACAAGCACACACACGACAAGAGGTGCAGCACCTGTACATCATATGTCGTGTTTGTGCATTTCCTTGGTCTTTATTTTTTGAGAAGACATATATTAGAATTAAAATCAAAGGGGTCTTGCCTGGCTGACATATCTCAAAACGTCCTGTGGTGGATGTCCCACGGAGGTCTACCACTGCACCTTCCTTAGCAGGGTATGTGTATTCCCAGGATGTCACTTAACGTACTGTACGTGTTAGGACGTCCGAATAAAGGTAATCCCTTGGAAGTCTTGTGGACGTCCCATATGGGATGTGGGACGTGGGGATCTTTTCGGGATGTCCCTGGGATGACTAGGTATGTGTTATCTGGGTTGTGAAGGAGCCACGGTATGAAAGCAAGCCGTGCTTTCGCAATGATGTGCCTGCATGCAGTGGCGTCACTAGGGTCAGCGGCACCCGGGGCGGTAGCCCTTCGCGATCCCCCCACCCCCCCCCCCCCCCCCTTCCCGCCCTCTTTATGGCGCCACTGCTTGCATGATAAGGTACACTACTGCCTACAGTTTTTACAGAATGAGTTTGCAGTGACGTTTTCATTTATTTCCATAGGCTGTTGCAGCTAAAGAAACTGACGCGCGCGTTTGTAGGAAAACGATCAGGCATCTCCGTTTCCACGTCAAAAAGGCACTTTTCCGACTCAAGTTTCAGGGTTTCAAAGGCCTTGTATGCAGAAGACATGTGTTCAGGTGTCTTCAAAGAGCAACAAATTTACCAACCTGCTGGGTGCACGAAACGCCAGCGATGCCACCGCCGACAACCACGAACGTGGCTTGGAGATCTCCAGAGCCCGAGCTCTTTCGCGTGTTCTGTTGCGCTAGATCCCATTA